TTCTTAATGTTATAGAACTTTATTAAAATTACAAATTTTATATAAATATTTATTTTCTAAACTAATGTTCGAAGTGCAAAATATAGATAAGACACGTGTTTCTCTCATAATAATAAGCTCGCATAAAAAAAAATTGAACTTGTATCGGAGGAGTGATATTGTCTTCAAACATTTACGTAATCGGGAGAAGGTGCTGCCTACAACTCAATACCGTGATGCGTGGCGGAATGTATTTCTAAATCTATTCTGTACGGGAAAAAGATAGAATTTTTATTTTAGAGAAACATTTATATTTTAACGTATTTTTGTGAAATACTATTAAACCTCAAAATGGATTTAAAATTTCAAAATGGATTTGCAATTAATAACTTTTTCAATTGACAGTCATTGCATAAGATTCGTCACATTGATCGCTTTCCTGTACGATGAATTGAAATTTGATCGTGATAAAATTCGACGAAAAAATTTTGGCAAAATAAAAACCAAAAATCGACGGTATGTGCGCGATTTATTGTTGATTTCACGAAATAGCACGGCTTTTTATAGCTCTTTCGATATAGTGCTCGCATAATAGAATCGGAAGATATATGAAAATGGAACTAACTGCTTGATATGTTACAACTTGTATTTTTTTTAATAAGAGAAGACGCAATATCTTTTTATATTGCAAAATATTTGACAAATATTACTTTAAAAAATTCTTACAATATTTTATATATATTTTAATATATGCACATATATAATACGTAGGTATATATATGCGTCTGTAAATCTCTTTAGAATAACATTGTAATGAAATTATGCAAATGATTTTATTTCCGTCGAATATTACATTGTCGTCGTACCATGTAGCAGAACGTACGACAGTATTTAATGATCTATTATCTAATAGAAACAATAGAACCGACTACGCGGCTTTTATCTTATCGTGTTGCTGTAAGCGCAATTTTCGTCACCGGACATTTAACATTAAGCTTAGATATATTCTTTATATAGTTTTCACAGAAAGAAAGATGTAAATGTAATTATAAAATTGATATTTTCCCCCATATTCCCTCATGTTGCAAAGATGAGGGAATTTAAAAAGCTTTTATCTAGCCATCAATATTCTATCTATCTATATATATATATATATATATATATATATATATATATATATATATCACTAAATGAGGGTTTAACCTATTGATTTATCGGATAATGAAAGAAACTTTTCTAATGATGAGAAAAAATAATTTACTTAAAAAAAATATCGAATTTATGTGTCTCTCTGCTTTATTTAAATCAATAAAAATATTGATAAATATTGATAAATATAATGAAAAGAAAATGAGAGATAGAAAAATATCACATTCAATGTATGTATATTATTTAAAATATAGATAAAATGACAAATGTGAAAAAAAATAAAACACTCATATTTATATTTTTCTGTGAATTTTCTCTTATGTGTCTCTCCTAATATTATTTCACATATTTCGCTTTTTTTATATTACACACATATGCAACGCTATAAATATATAATAACTTATATCCTTTTTTTATTTTTTTAGCTTTAATAACAAATCACATGTATCGAGATATATTTCATGCGGCAGATGTATTTCATGTCGCGTGTCTGTAATATATTTTTTTCATAGTTCCAGTCGTATGTTCTAATTACACGGATAATCGAATTGGCGAAGAAAAAAAATATGATCAGAGGATTAATACTGAGCGCGACGCGTCGCAAACTCAATGATTGGAATATTTTCAATTACTTATGCATACAGCACTTTCAATTGTCGCTTTGACCGAATGAACGTTCAGCCAATTACGAGTGGGTGTGGTATTGAAATGACGCGACACGCGAGCGCATATCTCGCACGAAGAAAATTTAAAAAAATGAGAACAAGTAGAGATACATGAATGGCTATTCATCCTTTTGACTAAATCTGGTTATTAATGCATAATATATGTTATCATTTAATATTAAAAAACGTTATTCGATAAAATTGATAGATATTATCTACTGAAACATGCTGGGAAATTTCATTGAAAATTACCGAGCTTTTACCTCCGTATTCGAGAATCATTGGCTAAATCCTGGAATATATTACACAATATACGCTAGGAAATGGTTACAAGCGTACAAACATGCACGATTCATTCGATCGACTGTTTACCAGTCGTGTAATTTATGTACAATTTTAGTTGAAAAAAACTGCGATCTCGTTAAACCATTACGATTCAATCTTGCATAATTAATACGATTACCTGTCTACTTATCTATCTAATCCACCGCGTTAGTTCCGCATATTTGATTCTTCATTTTTGCCTTACGTTTTTGCTTCCTTAATTACATCTCTCCATGGAGAAGAGAGAAACTGAAACTGAACTAAATTTTTTCCATCAATTAATTTTTTTCCAACTAATATCGAACGGCCGTTGAATCGTTAATGGATTGTCGTAAAAAACAATCAAAACCAACTCCAAACTGAGCAGTGCGAAATAAGATTCAATATTCGATTTTTTCAGCGACTCCTAAAATGTCAATTGTATTCGTTTCATGTTTGCGGATGTAGTGAAGATTATAAAAGATTATAAAAAAGATTATAAAAAGATTATTAAAAACTTTCGCATTTATATGCCGCAGTTTTGTGCAAAATTGATGAGAATATAAGAAAAGATCAGATTGATGCTTCAATGAATTCGCACAAAAATATATAAAACATGAGGCAAAAAGTTTTTCAACGAATCTCTTTATGTCAAATTGATTTTAATTGAATCAATTACACGAGTACATATTTCATGCCATTATTTGAATCATCCGTTTTTGATTTTGTAATTATTAAACACGCACAAAAAAAATATTTTACCATCATCCTTTATCTTCGATGTAACATATAAGTTTCCCGTAATATAAGGTTACATAAGTATTATACATATATACATATATACATATATGTTGAATTTTTCAAACGTCGAAAAGAGAGGCGTTAGTCTGACTTTACTAAATGAGAGTTGTTATTTCAGAATGAAATAGAGCCAGTGAAGATCGTGTATTTGTCATTTATGTAATATAAGTCACATATGTGAAAAATACCTAGAAAATACCATCTCAGAAAAAGAGGATACATATAATATTCATCAAAATAACTTGATTCGCTATTTATCATTTTAATATTTTCATGTCGAAGAGAATGTCAAAGGCCAATAAATAACTCGCTTGTTTATTGGCCTTTGTAATTTTTTATTATATCGATCTGTAGTTTATATATACACATTTAATTACTTTTGATAAATTTAAATTCAAATATGTATGTACATTGATGATCACGTCATTACGATAAATTCTGCAAATTATTTTCGAATTAATATAATGGCAATTTCCACGCAAACGGTACATTTAGTTTTGTGTTTAATCAATTGCTCCGGAAATATGTAATAAAATTTTATTTCATCTAGAAAACGCGACAAAACATATATATATATATATATATATATATATATATATATATATATATACTCGTATACACATATATGTATGTGTATATATGTATATGTATATAAATGATCGCGATATCCGACGAGAAAGCATCGGCATTTGGCCTCATAACTACTTTCATGCATACGATAAAATATTTCTCATACCGAAGCATATTGATATCCCTCAAGCATGCTCTCGATGGAGGAAAGCGCAGCGTTCCTTATTCGAGCTCTAAATGGTCACGAGTAAATATTAAATTTACAAAAACGCGATATAAAATTGATAATAACTTACTCAAGATATGCTGGAAATGAAAAATAAACTGGTACATGAAGAAGTAAATAATAAATGAAATTAAGTCTTCTCAATTCATTTTGATATATTAAGTAATTATTGTTCGAAAAAAATGGCTTTCTATCCAATTTTTATATTGATTGAAGAACTCGTAAAAAAATATAATTCTAAAATATCGAATTATATATTCGTGCTATATATTTAATTTTATCAAATTCTTCAAAGAGCTCTCATTAAAAATGGGAATAATTTGACTGCACTCTATTCCTTTCTTATATCTATCGCTATTTTCTCAACGTGATTACGCGTAAAACAGTCTTAAAATAGTCGCAATTTTCTTAATGCAATCGAATTGAAGAAGTAAATCAGTAGAAAATGCAATTTAGATGGAAAAGTAGATTAATAGAGACGTGAATACTTTAACGTAAAGATTGCAAAGGGATTTGGAAAAAGCGGAAAGAGCTTTAAAAAAACTAAAAAAAATTTCAGCTTATGGTGGAATGAAACACATTTGAGCTTGAATATGGCGAGAGTGTAGATAAATCTCAGAAAAAGAAATGATAGCATTAATTTGAAAAACTATATGTATTATTTATTTCTTGATAAAAAAATCAATTAATATTTATATAAAATATTTCTTTCTTCATATCAAATATACCAACATCACACATATATATATATGCAATAATATAACATTATAAATACAACAAGATATAGCAATATAAATTATATATTTTCGTATATATACATATAAAACGTATAATTTTATCGACTAATAATATAGTTTCGAGAATTTCTGCTATCAGTCTATGCTTTTGAAATTCTGTGGAATTTTATAATAATTTTGAGCAATTGCGCATTGCGTTTTCTTACGTGAAATAATTACGAGGTATATCAGTCTTACATATGTAAAATTTAATCTATACATAGAAACGAAATCACTCAAAGAATATTTGTCTTCTTATTTTGAGAGTGATTGTACTATGCAATACTTTTTTTCGATTTATTATATAATATATTTTACACAAATATATAAAAGAACATTCTCTCACTCTTTCTTTCTATGATGAAAATATTTGTTTATGTATTTGCACAAATTTCCACTGGAAGAATATAGAAATTATAGAAAATATTTTTTAATTTTATTTTTTAATCCATCACATAAGAAAAGTATGTATTTCATATATATATATATATAATTTTTTTTTTCATATTATATAATAATATATAAAAAATGTCATCAATATTATTATAGAATCACGTTTCGCTTTCTCTAGTATAATACATGGAATCTAAAAAACATCTTGTAAAATCACCAACTACACTTCTATCTGGGATGCTTTGGCTCATTCCATACATTGCCAACTGAAAAATATTGCATAACATGATTAATATTTCATCAAAAATATCTGTTGATAAATTCTAATAAATTTTACTAAATATTACTTTTCCTTCCACCAAAGTAGTTCGGGTTTCCAAAATTGTGTTCAGTTCAGACTTGACATCTTTTAAAAATTGATCTGCCACTCCTGATTGAGTATGCATATGTGTAACACATAAGTGTACACCGGGAGGGAATTGTAATGGATTCAAATTCCAACCTTTGGCACTGAGAGCTTCCGATAATCGGTAAATGTGGAATTCGTTAGAACCTATTGCAATGACAGATGTGGCTGGTTTACCAAACACGAAAATCCCATCCATTTCTCTCAAACTGCAAAAAATATTTTAAAGAATTAATATATACACTGTTGCCTTTAATTAATTGCAGTATAAATCTTGTCCTTTAAATGTGCATACTTTCGTTCAATGTATCTTGTAGTTTCTATAATTTTCTTCGTGGATTCGATATAATTATTGTATCCAAAATACATTAATGTGGCCCAGCAAGAGGCGATAATGCCACCAGCTCGGGAACCATTTATTGTTGGAGAACCATAAATGCCACCAGGCCAATCTGTTGTAATCGTATATTGATAGTGTCGATAGATTTTATTTCGATACAAAATTATTGAAGATCCTTTCGGTGCATATCCATACTGAAAAAGCATCACATATGATCATTGTATGTTTTAACTTATATATAAATTTAATTATCGCTCGATAATAAAATGGACAAATACCTTATGAGTATCAGCTGATAAGCTAGTAACACCAGGTAATTTAAAATCAAACAGTGGTAAATCATAACCAGCATCAGGCATAAAACAAGTGAGAAAACCACCCAGACAGGCATCTACATGAACAGGGATATTGTATTTCATACCTAATTCAGAAATTGCTTCAATGTTATCCAAGGTTCCATAGGGAAAATTTGGTGCAGATCCTACCAACTATTAGAAATATAAACTCTAATAATATAATTTATGAAATAAGCTTGTATATGATTATATCGTATTGTCTTACCAATATTGTATTTTTTGTGATTGACTTTCTCATGGCTTGGATAGAAACTGTAAAACTATGTGGATTGACAGGTACAGTGCGTACTTTTATGTTTAAATACTGTGCAGCTTTATCAAATGCTGCATGAGCAGTGACCGGCATCACCATTTCTGGCTTCGTAATGCCTTTAACTTCACGACCATAATCTCTAAATGCTTTACACGCTAATAAAATTGATTCTGTACCACCTGTGGTCATCTAAATATTAATGTGAGATTATATTGTAATATATTGTAATATATTTTAATTTTTAAATTGTAAAATATTAATGAGAGATTATATTGTACCTATAGATTACATCATATCTTTCTCTCTCTCTCTATAATTTTTACAATTTTAAAAGTAATAAAAAACTACTTGCAGTTCCACAAGTTTCTTCATCTCCATGGAATAAATGGCAGGCTATTCGAACAACTTCTGCTTCCATTTTACAAATTCCAGGGAATATATCTGGATGCAATGGATTAGTATAAGATGCAATTGCATACACATCTCCCATTAATTGTGTAAGTTCATTGTTAGTTCTGTAAATTGCACCAGATACACGACCTGCTTGCCAATCGTAATCACCTAGAAAATAATTCAAGCAAAAATTGAATTAAAATACTGCATCGAGAAAACATATGGAAAAAATTAGTTTAGCTCACCCAAGCGAATAAACTGTTTCACTAAATTTAGTATTTCTTCTTTATTCAATCCCTTTTTAGGAAGATGTACAATAAATGAGGCTTCTTTGAGTCTATGTACAACATCTTTTTCAAAGGTTTCATTAATATTAACTAGTTCCTTATTTATTTTATCACGAATAGAGGGAATATAACGAGCTAGTTTGAACAGCTGTTTCTTTCCACGTTCCAAGAGACCTGCAACACATGCATCATCAAAATACATAAATTCTGTAATGATAACACAAAATATAAATAAAATTATATATATATATATATATATATATATATATATATATATTTCTATCTTTTCTAATACTTTGTTCTTACTTTTATCTTGACAGAAGAGAAAGTTCCACAACCACACTGTAGCAAGTGTAACTGTACTTGTCATAGTTACTATCTGCCATGGTTCTTTGTTTTGAAGTGCATTATTTACAATTCCTGGTATAGCATCCACATAGATGATACGCATTTTTCCTTAAAAAAAAATAATACACATACTCTATTAAAACTATATCAATATATGTATAATAATATTACAAAGTAACACTACAAAGCTTCATATATTATGCATATGTGATTATATACTACGAAACCTGTTACTGCCTCAGACTTGCATCAATATTAGAATGAAAGAAGGGAGCACGTTGCTAATGATTCGAGACTGGAATCGCTTAAATAATTTTATGCTTACCTGAATTCACAATCAATTAATATTAATTGACACAAAAATTTCTAATAGAATGATTCGGCACTGTCCACTTTGAAAATACGTAATCAACAAGAACAATTCTTATCTAAACTCGATACTCGACCAGGTAGCTACGAGATACTGAACCGATATCTCTCTGACATTGACACTCTGACGGAAAGTCCGTATTTGTGTGTATAAAGAGACTCTGGTATCTGCTAACGCCCTCTCGGCAATTCATGTAGCTGAGTAATTTTTCGTACAAAGAAATATTAGAATTGTAATAGCGTAAAAACATGATAATGATATATTTTGAAGCAAAAAATATAGAAAAGGTCATCGTGATAAATGAGATATTGCAAAATTGATACCGACCATAAATTTCATCAATATTTGGCTTTACTTTAAAAATAAGACAGATATACACGATGATATAACACATACGCGAAACCGAGTTTATCTCGTATTTGTTTTAATATCTTTCGTAAATGCAAGCATCTTGTAAATATGTTTTATGAAAATATATTGCTTTTGTCATTGAAAAGAATACATAACACAGTTCAATAAAAAAAATATGAGGGAAAGAATAAATATTTCTTGTAGATTTTTTAATGTTGAATACGATCCCGATTTTATCAACTTGTTGATAAAAAAAGAAAAACTTGTTGAAGTTAATTATGTTGTTATGCATTTTAATCTTTCCAAAAGGAATTTGTTATATCGATTACAGTCACAGCCGGTTTTAAGGTAGGGCATGATTGGGCGATCGCCCAGGGCACCAAATCTGAAAGGGCGTCATTGTCTGATATTCACTCGTATGTAGGTATAGGCAGAGAGAAGCCTGTATAGGGTATACTCGTATACCCTAGACCCGTATACCGTACACAGAGAGGAAAATGTTAGAAAAACTCCCATACTGTCATTATAAAAGAGATGTAAAAAATTTTTATTGGAAATTTACTGTGCTGTATCATAAAAACCTTCAATAAAAGTTTTTTACGTCTCTTTTAGTGGCAGCATGGGAATTTTTCTAAATTTTTTTTCCATGTAACTTGCGAGAGATTTCCCACAATCGAAAAACAAAATTACCACTTTGTATTTTCTTCCTCAAGAATTTCGAACCGTTGAATGGGTGCCACGATAATCTTGTCCAGGGCGCCAATATTGCTAAAATCGGTTCTGAGTATATCTAATAGATATTAGTTTTAATTCTTCAATTTAATTTTTCAATAATGACATTATCATTCGTATTTAACGATTTAAAACAACATATAAATTAAAATAAACATATTTTTCAATTATGTTTATTTTAATTTATATGTTGTTTTAAATCGTTAAATACGAATGATAATGTTATCATTGAAAAATTAAATTGAAGAATTAAAAGTATCAATCTAGTATCAATCAATGTATCAAAATTTTAAATATTCGGATTTTTGCAAAAACTTATGCACGCAACATTTATCTTTTTATACATCTTTTTGTGTATATATTTTTAATTTGTATTCAGTGATCTAAACATCCTTAAGATTCAATAAACATAATCTAATCTTTTCTGTAATGAACGCTAACTATAAAACGTCTATTAATTATAATCGACACAACAAATTTTTTTTGAGAGTGAAAAGTAACAATATATTTTATCTTGATTGCAAAATATTTCTCTCATGCATTATATATATATATATATATATATATATATATATATATATATATATATATATATATACATCATATCATAGTTATAACATAAAATTCACTAAAACAGTTTTTTTTTGCAACTTTCGCAAATTAATCACAAATCTTCTACAATATAAACGTAATGGAATGATTTATCGTATTCGACGATAAGAAAATTACGGTGATTAAAGGTGATCATTCTCCATTTTTGTAAAAAAGTTCGAAAAAAGTTATTTTTTGTTGAACTATGTAATGTGATGGATAGAGAGATTTAATCATCAGCAAAGGAAGCGTCATATGTCATATGTATAACTACGTTCTTACGCGTAGTATTTCCTTTTTTTATTTACAAATAGTCTCGCGATAATGTATCCAGTAACAAAATTACATTGCACATATACAGAATTATCATTATAGCACTAAGGCAAGAACTGAATTAACAATATACGTCATCCGTACGAGAAAAATCGTATTTCCAATGGATACAGTGGGTAAAGTCGTCTTTCTCCTTATGATATATTCAGTCGTAAAATTTACATATAGCGTTTCTTTTTTTTCCCTTAAGCACGATTCTTTTTGTAACACTATCATTAAGAGGTAAGGAGAGAAACGAAGCATCAAACAGATGAATAGAAGGTTAAGGATTAACTTATCAAGGATTAACTTGAGCTAGGCCGAACATTTTGGAGCTCAGTCACGTGTTAAATATGCGCTTGATGATGAGTGAAACAAATCGGGAATCGCAGTAGAGATCCATTTTGCGCAGTTATGTGAATTCTGATCGTTGCACCTTTTTTTTTATATTCTTGGAAAATGCATATGGCCTAAATGTGCAAATATACGTGTGAAATATGCGTGAGAATATAATAAGCTTTTTATCCGAGATGCGGGGGCTTTCGAATTACCCGGTAAAAAATGACAAGTCGGGAAGACAGCTATTAAACGTCCATAAACGACGTTTAATAGCTATTTTTTCCATCCGCATTTCTCACTGGGTATGCATTACGTCGTGTGTATCTCATTGTCAGCTTGATGTCGAGTATTAATCTCGTTTGTTAAATAGGCAGTTTCGGTCAAATGCAAATGTAGGCACTCTATTTTTACCGGCGTTGAAGCGTCACGCGATCTCCTACGAAATGCGCTCAAAGTTGTCAAAGATTACAAAAAAGAAGTATAACGCGTATTTTATTTTACTTTATGTGTACGGATAATCACAGCATCGATTACTTGACTAGAAAATCGCCTTCGCGTTATACAGTATCTTATACGAGGATCCTCGAATTTCCGCGGTTTTTGTTCTAACATCTTTTCCGGATATTGTACGCGGGAAATATGCGCGTATATTTATTCGCGCACTTTTATTCTAACTCGCGTAAATTCGACACACCGTTCATAGGGAGGCCTTAAAACACACGATGATGTAACATTATGTCTGTTTTGCTCCGCGTGACTTAAATCCGCTTTGCTCGGCTGAGCCGAAGGATGCAACATTTTTACAACAAATGAGATATGTTCGATCGGAATCGGATGACGCGAGATGTGGTGAGACACGACGAACGGTACAGAATTATCCTCCAATCACGCGCGCGTTCCAACTTCTGAATACACATTTCTGAGATTTCATTTAAACAACCGTCTCTCCTTTCATCCCCCTCCCTCCCTTCTTCTTTATTCGAGAAATCGCCCGATGTGCCTGTTGTCAAGCTCTTGTTCAATGGTATTCAAAAGTTAGCGGGGTGTGCATAGACGCGAGTAACTTTATATCACCCCGTATGTAATTGTATTAAGGGAAACTTTCTATTAAATGCAAAACATGTGCGCTCGCGAATGAAAGAGAAATCCGCACTCGGAATATAAAATCCTTCGCTCCACCGTTACGAGAAATTCGCGAACTCACGTACGACTTTGAATATCGGACGAGAGTCCGGGAAAAAAAAAATTCTTTCATTTTTCCCAATAAATGCATGCGAGCGTGTTGAATGGACTTTCGCGTTGATTAAACTTTTCGAATCCATCCGCGTGTTCTACATGAGTTCGCGATTCTCGTCGCGACGTTGCGTTAAAATAGCGCTTGACGTTACGATTACTTGCTGCGAGAGTGTGGAGTAATATGTAGGGACGACTAGAGAGAACCAATCAATCGGCCTATCATTCGGCACTTTGATCAGCCCGAATGTCCGGCGAGAGTTTCTAAAACTGTGCGCTGTCGCTAATGGATGGATCCGCCTGGAACGGATGCGGATGTAGACTCGAAACGTGCGACTCGCGGTGTAAAAAAAGGCATCTGAATCCGGATCAACGCCGTTGATTGAAGCGGCGCGCTTCGAATTGGCGTAACTCGCGATGCTGCGGGTGTGAGAAAATACAAGACGTTACGTAATTCAAGATTCGGGCGCAGAGCGTCGAAGAAACAATTCTGGATCGGGCAGAATGCGAGCGGGAACCTTGACTCCTTCTACATATGACGTCGTCGGAATTTTTGCACGAATTTTTCGCCGTCGACACTTTGTGCCTGCAGGCCTCGTTCGCGTAGTCCTTTTCGACGAAGCGAGCACCAGGTGTGATCGTGCGATTTTTGAGTCATGGTTATAGACGACACGACTTATCTCGCGATGCATGTATGTACACTTGCGATAATGTATGCATGCTTTTGCTCTAATCTTTCGATATCTCGCTCTCTCCTTAGGATTAATCTGCCCCGTTATCTCATGTGTGTGGCGAAGACAGGCCGGACGTCAAACGTTACGTTACAATCGTTACCCTTATTATTGCTATTAATAGTATTAGCGTTATATCATTATCATTACTATTATTATCGTTATTTTTACCATACGCGTTAAGAAACATTTAATTGAACAACATGAAACACTCGCCCGTGCGAGTCTGTCAATATATAATATATATTTATATGTATATATATATATGTGTATATAAAATTCGAATACACACACTCGGTGAAACCGCAAAAATGAACGAGGTAAACCGTCAACAGCGTCACTAGACTCCAACGTGTCGCATAAACTATACAAAATGAGCGCTCGAAATTGGGAGAAACGAAATATTTTGGACGGTACGACGAAGAAGCATTTAACAAAACATAGCTGCCGACACAAAATCTTTGTGTTCCACTCAAATTCAAATCGCTCGCAACTGCACTCGCGAAAATTAGCGTATATTCTTCACTACAGCGTCCTCGAAACATGCGATTCGCCTACGTCTCGGCTGATGATCTTCTCGTCCTGGCGATCCTCTTCACCACAGTAGAATCGATGATGTCAGAAATTACTCGCTTGATCGATACATTATCTGGGACAGTTTAATGAACTGAACTCCATGATCTCGACAATTTTAAAGGCCTCGCGCGAGATCATTAATTCTTAGAGATCGAACTTTCTCAGACTCCCCAACTCGCTCTCAAACACATGTTTCACAATCCTTTTCGTACAGTTTAAACATGTCGTAGAGCGATAGTTACTTAAGTCGTTGCGTGACGTTCGCTAGAGCGACCGCGAATGCTTGCAAAGCGCTGAACGGATACTGGAAATCCAACGTGTATGCGTTGCCATCTATTCTTCCGAATTGCATTACCTGAAAAGATTGACAAAAATATTTTACAATCTAATTTGGAGAGACCGAGATCTTGAGAGCACGCGTCCTTACCTGTCTACCTCTGAACTCGATCTGAAAGTTCTTGGCGCTTTCTTGAGTCACTCTGCCACCAAAATCGAGCTGATACACTTGACTGGATTCGTTCCACATGGGCGCCTTATTGTGCATCACCAATTGTGCGTCGCGTCTTATCGCTTCTGGCTTGGAGATTCCCGCTCCCCTTTGCTTGAGCTGTAGATGTAACGCCTACATCTCAATATCGTTTTTCCGCGCTCTTTTTCCGATTTAATATACTATGTTCATAGAAACATACTCTTCTTCAGAAGTTGAGAATATTTGCAATATACAAACCTTTTGACGTAACTGAGCTTTTTGGAATGTTTCTAAATCTCGATAACTCGTCGTCGACGAGGAATCGTCCTGGAGAAGACCTTCTTCGTCCGAGCTTTCCCCACGACTCTTTCGCATCCTTCTGCTCAGCAATGGACTCGACAAAAGTCTTCTACGGATCGGGGAAGCCGATGCTGGTCTCTTACCCTTCTTAGACGGTGCTGGGCTACTTGGCGAACTCCTTGGCAATCTATATTTGTCACTGAGTGTTACAAATGAATTGACTGATGATTCGTGAATGTGATACGATAATTACCTCGAGGATGGCCGAGGGGAAGGAGGTGGTAAGGAATGACTGTCGTCGAAATCTCGAAGTCTCGCAGCGAGGCCGTCGAGCGACGAGACGAACGATCCACTCGCGCTCGATTCCCTAAAGTACAATCGGCTTTTTTATTATTTGAATTGCATGCGAAAATGACAATTTTCTCCAATCGTATATACACAGAAAAAAATAAGTGTCAAATCAAAACTTATATTATTTAAATTAACGCATTCATTGTTTCATATATACGCAATGATTTATAATCTTCTTAGAAGAATTTAATCATTTTAAATTTCAACAATATTATAGTCCTATTTTAATATTATAATTGTCATCTCAAGAATATATAATTATTTAAATCTACTTTAAGAAAATTATAATCTTTGATTTAAAAATGTTATTTTCTATCTAACATCGTTTCTTTTCCATTCAAGAAAATTAAATCTTAAATCGTAAGAATATATTTTTCTTGATTGAACTATATAAAATGACTTCATTCAAGTAAGCAATTATTCAAGCAATTATATTTTTCTTTAATTAACGCAATATAATCTTATTTCAAGATTTCCATGTTAAAACTAAATATATTTTCGAAACAAGAATGTCCTTTTTTTCTGTGTATGATACAAATTTTTCTTACTTGACAGGTGACGCGACGGTTTGCGGTCGGCTCGGTTTCTCTTCAAGCTGAGTCTCTTGAATAACGTGTCCGTTGCTCTCTTCGCATTTGTCGACGATCTCTCGCGTCGCATCCTTCGGCGGTTCCGACTCGTCACTTTTGACCGCGTTGTCCTCGACGACCTCGGAATTTACTCCCCCTGTCGTCTCCTCCACATGTTCCGGCAATTGCGGCGGGGAGGCTATTTGCTCGTTGCTCGGAAAGATATCACTGGAATCCAGACTCTTGGACTTGCCGCAATTGCGTAATCTAGGTGGCTTCGAGCTCGGCTGACTCGCGTCGAGTTGCGGCTGAGGCTTGTTCCTTTTTCGCCGTTTCGTCTTTCGCGACACCAATACCAATCTCTTGTTCGGCGCGTCTCTTCGCAGCATTCGCAATGCCACGTCGCACGGCACTAGTTGAGCATCCACCAGGTCCAGATAACCGACGCTGCAACTTCTGACTATCGAGTCGTTGGAACACATCGGACCGATACTGATCACCGTCGAGGTTCTGTGAACGCCCCGCATTATTCCCATATCGGCGCCAATATCGTCGTCGCTAAATTGCATCAGATCGTCGTCGAGTTTAACGATACCCGGCGTTCCGGCGTTCGTCTTACCATAACACACGTGACACTTGGGATCCTTCTGCTTCGCGAAACACTGCGAGCACGATGACCCGAAGCACTGTTCGATGTTCTCCGGGAACTGATAGGAACATGCGGGCGATACTATCCCGTGTACGCCGTTTTTGTTGACAAGTAGACCAGCGGCTTGTCCGACCTGAGAAGAGCTGTTGTTATTCGACGACGTCGCATTGAAACTCGCCTCGGTATTTTGATTATTCTTACTATGTACAAAATTGTGAGCGTTTTGCGACATCGCGGATTGATGGACGGCGTGTGACGGAACGTTGCTCGCGCACGCCATGTTATTTAGACCGTTCAGGTATACGGCCGAGGTGCAATCGACGTTCTCGAGGCCGTTTGTAACCGAGCTCTGCGAGATCGAGTATCGACTGCTCGATGCTTCCGCGGCCTGGCCGTTTTGCATAGAAATGATGTTCGCTGGACAAGGACATGGCTTGTCGTCCGATGCGATCTGATTGAGCTTGTTGTTCTCGAGTTCCTTCTTGGTCGCGACGCCGGCCTGCTGAACGTCCGCGAGAACGTTCTTCATCCTCTGAATGCTGTTGGCGTAATCGGTGCCCGCGTTCGACGTCGCTATCAACGTCTGCGTGGGCGCGACTGCGTTTTTCGGCGACTGTAGAGCCGGCACGTCGCAGCATCGCGGCGGATTGTGCCTCGGTGGCGTACGATACGTGTTGGTGGGGGCATTTCTTATGTTCTCGTACAGATTTCCCATGTCCTGCAGATCTACATAGGGCACGTACTCGCTTTCATAGCTCTCGATTTTTCCCAGCGACGTCGGCAACGTCTCCGTCGCCAGGAACTGATTCGATATCTGCGACTTGGGTCGATTCGGATGATTCAGACGGGCGTTGCGAGGTGTCATCGGCGCGATCGGCGGCGGTTGCGCTTCCGGGGTCGCTCGCGAGCTCGATTCCTGATACGATTCCTCTTCGTCCTCGGAGAATAGATTTGGATTGAACGTCGGATCCGGACCTATCGTGATTAAATTTTAAAAAAGAAACTGATCACAGTCACGCTACTAGATGAGATTACCTGCAGGTAGATCGTCTCGAAGCTCCGTCATCACGAGCGTCATCTGTCTGGGCTGCAAGTGCAGCAACGATGTTCGATAAGTCACTTGACCTAGGTTCGCGGGAATCGAGTCCGCCAAGCCGTGAAACTTGAATTTCGTGCCCCAAATGTTTGACGTCACTTCGACCAGCCTCGCGTGCTACGAACAGAGGTGCGCTTATAACGTTCTTACGCTGTTTTTTTATATCACTTAATACGAACAGAAGAAATATTGTACCTCGGGCAAAGTATCCACGTATGCGAGATCGTTCGACTTCTCCTCTCGTTCCGTCGCTTCCTCGCTCGGTCTCTCGTCCCTTTTCTTTCTGTTCTTCTTCCGGTATCGGGGCGATCCGCATAAATCCGCGGTGTCCTTCTCGGTATCCGACCCGTCACTATACGATGGACACTGTGACATGTCGTCGAACACTTGCAGAGTCTCCTGGCTCTGGGGATCAAATATCACAAACTCGGGCCGGATCTTGCTGGTCCGTCTACCTTTGAGGAGTGGCACGAGACCGCCTAGATATTCCAGATAGAGCGTGTAACACGGCACGGGCTCGACCGCGTGTCTGAGCATGGTGCAATGTAATCGGCTACCTCCGGGTGGTGGCCTTGACACGAAGCGTCGCAGTTCCTTCGGTTCCGGCACTAGACATCTGAAAGAAGCGTACGAAAGATGCGATGTTTATATGTGTAATGTTTCTTCTTCATCGGCGGAATAGTTGGTCCTTGACAGCCAAAGAATTTCGAAAGCTCTTTCTTTACCGAATCGTGTTGGCGAACAGGGCGGCTACTGAAGCTCTCAATCGTGGTGGTAATGGGAGTTGTTGAACATTGGATTCCCTCGTGAGAGCCGCTCTCACCGCTAGCCTCGACAACAATTGTAGCGAGCCTACTCTCCTGCAAGAAACAATACAGTTTGATTGTCATGCATCGTTACTCCGTAACTCTCGAAGCGTCACTTGTATTAAGAATCTACACTGAGAAAAAATCTGGTTGCATTAATTAGAATTCTAGTAGATTCAACCAGTATGTCTGTTGGAAAATGGGCGAACCGGAATTCTTGTAGGAATTATCAGATGAATCTGATTAATTTCTTCCTAAATTTACCAAATTTTCTGATTAATAATACTAAACTCCCCAGCACCAAGTCGTCTAAAATTTTTTCCATCTAATCTCAAAAGTCTGTTTAATATTTTGAATTTCAACAAGATTATTGGATAAATTCAATTCAGATTATTGAATAAATTATTATTATAAATTATTATTATAAATTATTATTATTTTAAATTCAGTTTATTAGAAATTAAACTGATAAACAGTGATGCAAGAAGAGGATGCAGCTCAAACACACACAATCAGAGAGCCAGCGTCCTCTTTCTGGCACTACTGCTCGTAAGAGAAAAAAAATATACTTTGGATTCAATGTTAATACTAGTTCTTTATATACATTTCATGGCAAATATTAAATACGAATTAAGTTAAGAGTGGCTTGCCGCCTAGAGACAAGCAAAGAAATTAATGTAATAAGAAATTTTATAGATCCAACCAGAAAATACTAACCAAATCCTTATAGTAAAATCTATTAAATAATCTAACAATAAATGTTCTAGTTATAAAAAATCGAGTCTTATCTATATATTTAATGATAACTAGAAATTCTTGTTTGATTTAATCAAAATGCCATCAATCATATACGTCCTGTTGTACAATCAAACAATTTTTCTCAGTGTACATTCGCGAGGGATCACCTGGAGACCCAAGCGGCGTGGACGCGCGCTCCGGTGGCTACGAAGAGTCGCCTATCGTTGTGTCCCCAGGTCAATGCCGATACAGGGCACTGAAGTTGTGAGGAAAATCGTAAAGATAAATTATTTAGTTGCACAGCGTCGACTTTAGATAGATAAATAGAGCGAGAGAGAGAGGGAAAGAGAGAGAGAGATGAGCATTCTTTCAAACGTACTTGCGTGTACGGAATCTCAGTCGTGTAGACGAGAGTACCGTTGACCGAGTAGAACTTGAGCAGATTCGTGTACTCTTGCGGACTTCCCGAGTGAAGGTGTTCGGACTCCTTCGTGCCCGCGATAGCGAGCAGTTTCCTGGAGTTGCTCCATTCGGCGTGCAAAGGCGGCTTCAGATTGCTGCGTATCGTGATGGGTGACACGTCGTCGAACGATCGCAACATGACGATGTTGCCATCGGCAAGGCAAACGGCTAGGACGTAATTCCGGTCATCTGCGCTTGCACATACATCACGACAAACGTGTGCGTCAATTTGTCTCGACCGGTGACTTTTTTCGGGCTCGAGAACTGGCGAGTCTCGAAAAGCCTCTAAAAGCCGCGATTGATACCTTTCTGACTTCGATCACACGTCTCGTCCTCCTCCATAGTGAACTTCTTGGCGCTCCACGCCATCGAGGTGACACCGGCAGCCAGTTGTACCTCCGACACCATAGCCCCGTGAACGTCCATCACGATTAATTGGCCCGCCGTCGTCCCGAAGTAGACCTTTTTGTTGCAAATGACAGAAAAAAATATGAATAATGTCGTCTCATTTTTTTTTATCGGTTTTCTATCTACAGACGAAGATTCATCGGTGACAAAGAGAAAGCTTTTAACTCGCTGCTGGATCGCTGTCAAAAATGATTGAGCGTAACTTTGCGACACAATGTCAAGAGTGCTTCTATCGGGGAACAATATATCATATTTCGCGCATGTTGCACTCGTGTTACTGTGCCCTAATCTCCGATGAAAACGCTCGAATATTATGGACATTGATTGCTTTTCTTTCACCAATTACAACGTTCTTGATAAGTTAGAAAATTACGCGCGTAAGAAATGTAAGATAACAATTTTTTTTCAAACCTGCTGATCGTCCGGAGTCCAAATGCCGCAGGTTATCGTCGCCTTGTCGTTGAGCATCGACGACCAATACCTTTGACCAGCGACACTCCCGACCAGTACGAAACCATCCTGCAATAAAACATTGCATTCTCCACAGCTGATACTCCGTAAAAACGTGCGCGACGCGTTTACGAGAGATCGTAAATAAATACATAAACCTCTGAAAACTTAAAGAAAGCGCGTCTCGAGTGGAACGCTCTGAACTGAATGGCAATATTCTACATCGATAAAATAAATAACTATCGATTTATCGGAGTCTTATTTAACGAAAATAGAACTTAATTCTCTCTTCGTTAAACAGACGTACATTTGTTTAAAACAATATATATAAAAATTACATTTATTTAATGCAATAATATTTGTTTACTGAATATATTGTGATATTATTATTCATGAGAAATAAAAATCTCGATTATCGCGTAAACTCAACAAAATATTATATTTAAATTTACTCTATATTTAAATTTACAGATTGTAATTTACTCTGTAACATATAAGAGCCATGCGACCATCGTGGGACCAAGAAAAATGCGTAACAGGTGTGCTTCTGTCGTTGATCAATTCTATACTCCATCGTCCGTCGTATTTGATCCAAACGAAGATTACACCCGAACTGTCGCACGAGGCTAGTTTTTGATAGGGTTCGTTCCATTTAACGAGTATCACCTGCAATCAGATAGAAGAGATTCGTAAGCTGAAGAAGAGTAAGAATTATTAAAACTTGGGAAACCTCTCAACGATATTATTTCTTCAATTTTCTGTCCATTTTTTATAGTATTCCGCAAAGATAATATTATGTGTTTTACGCTGCCATCTTTAATATAATATATTGCCGTAAATTGAGCTCCTATATTTCATTTTGAGCTCTGTTATTAATTTTATAGCCTCTAATCAGCAAACCTAAACTTAATTGGTATCAACGTTCTCGACGAAAATTTTTCATTCTTAATCAAGGATCCTTCCATCGCTTACTTCTTACAAAAATGAGATAATTAACATGATTGATAATTGATATTAAAACATTATTTTATCGTTGCTTTATCACTTTATTGCTTCTGATTACGAGAATTATTTCGAGCGTGGCTTCTTCGATAAGCCCCAAAGGCTAAAAAAAATCAATTTTCGAAAAAGTAATCTGTTTGAAGAGATTAAATCAATCTTTCAAGAAAGATAATCGTGACCTTCGTTTTTAAAGATTTTTCGCGCTATCGGCGGTTGAAGCGAGTCTTGCACAAGTCTCTTGTCGAAGTCGAGACGCACGCGGAGATATCCACGAAGTGTCATTGCTCCATCGTCGATCGATTGTCTCCTATTGCGGTGACAAGCGAGCGCGCCTATATATTTTTATCTTGCTGATACGGCAAATAGAAGTTTATCGGAAAATTAATTTCTGGAATGAAAATGTTAGATAATTCGCGTTGTATGCGCTCGTTGACTATTTATATCTTCGCGAATTATAATTAATTAAGTATAACAAGGATATAAAACTGTAATTTGGAACTGTTCAAATTTATCACGGATATCTTGTAATTTGTAATAATCGTTACATTTTGAATATTAATTTATCGTGTTTCACAAATTTGTTATTTTCGATCAATTTTACATTGTCCCCCAAAAAATTACAAAATAATAAAGCATAAAAACTCTGTACTGTTTTTTTTTTCAGTGCAATCGTTATCTTTTCCGAGATTTTTCAAATGCATACATTAATGTTTTTCCGCAAATCTGTATCCGCGAAGCTTTGATACAGTAACTCGTATTCTTTAAAAAAGAAAGTCGAACCAAGTCATAAGGCTAAGCTGTGAAAAATGAGAAAGTGGATGACATGCGTAGCGACAAGATGTACAAGCATGTGTGGGTCTGCACATGTATTTATATGCGTGCGTATATATGTGCGGAAAAGAGAAAGTTATCGATGCTTTCCTGCAACAATTTTCCATGTATTATTGTACAAATTATTCTATGATTTATTAAGTGCAAGTTACTACAAATTTGTCTTTCTCCTTGACAAAATTGATGATTTTTCAAATATAAAAGAGTCACGTTGTGCAAACGCAATAATGGAAGCCACTCTTTTCTCGGAGATTAACAAAGAATATATATTTGCAGAGAATATATATTTGCATACTTTTACGACGTCATTATATTTGATCGTAATCGAGGATTTTATTTAAATTAACTCGAAATGGCATATTATCCGCTAATGGAAAAATCTTATTAGCGATATAAGAAAGTTGAAGAAAATTTTCTCCCTTCTTTTAAACGCGATTCCATCACGCGAAATATCGCCAATTGCGAACGAAATTGCGTTACGAGAAGCTGGTCTCGCTTCATGGGAATAAACGGGATTTTCCGCGTGCTCTATAGGTGCAATAAAATCTGTCTGAGGGTCGCAGGTTGTAAATTGCGAAGACATGATCGTGTAAGAAAGTCGCTGATAGTGCTGATCGATAGGAGCCTTGTATGAGCTCTTTGGATTTTCTCGCAAAATCGTGCTAAAATCGTGCCAAATCTGCGATTGTGGGATGCATCCGGGGAACATGTTAAAAAAAGAAATCGCAAACTTTATATTTTTAATATATACATATAATTTTCTTTCTTTTATGTGTTAAACTATGCATGCTAAATGTGTTTACTTCTACTTGCTGATTTTTAATGTTGCAAGTTTTAATATAGATTGAAAAACAAGATATATTGAGAGTAACCCGTGTATTCCTGGTGGGTTAGATTCGTTTATAAGTGCGCGATCGTGCAGCTACAAATTGACGCAACGATCTATTTTGAGCGACGGAGATGTCTGCTCTCATAATCGCATTCTACGATGGAATACACGTGGTATTATCAACTCTTATACGCGGCGCGCATGACACCCCCGCGTTTCATTACGTACACACCACATTGAACTGCTCATAAAGTTATATTTTCCATATACATTTTTCGCTTAATCGTTGAATAATGCTCCCTGCTTAACCTGTCATACTCCTTTTGTTTTCGTTCCCGTACAATATTCATTGTACGAGACAGAAAGGGAAAGGGAGGGAGAGAAGGATAACGCATCGGCGCGCCTGATAATCCGGTGTAATTGTATTTTCAAACGTAAAGGGAGCCGAATGAGACTGTAACAACGCGGTTGTCGTTATCCTTTTTTTCCTCTCCCGTCCGTTAAGGTTCGTTGAGAGTTCTACGACCTGTAACGTATTGCCGCTTCGTATTTTGCCTTTTCCGTTTCGATGCGATCGTACTCCGGGAATGAAAAAGTCGCGCGAGCGGAAAGATGTAATTGAAATTACTCGAAAGAAACGATGTATTTTTCCCTCGCAGTATCCTCCTCTCTCGTTTCTTTCGCGTAATTTCGTCTCTTAATCTTTCTTCCGAGGGAAGGGGACAAGCACGAGAAAAGTGCCAAGTCTCGCGTTATAATGACGTCAAGTTTCGTCTTCTATATCTCGCTACCGTGCATTATTCATTTAGATTCCTCACCAATTTATACTGCAGGAATGCATATTGATAAAGGATGTAGAACAGGGAGAAGAGTTTCTTCTCCCTCCTCCCTCTCTCTGTCTCTCTTTCTCTTTTGAAAATATACTGCAATTTTCCTCGCCAAGCTGCTACTTTCTGTTCCGAAAGCAGGGGCAGATCGTCACGTAACCCTTTGACTGCTAATGCATTGCGGTAAAGACTGCAGCAAGCGCCGGAGCCTCGGCTAGCTCGTTTGGTAAATCAATGATGCTCCTTTTCACACTCGTTCTTTTTCAGTGTCAAGGTAATTCTACGCGCGTTTGCGTATCCCGCGAGAATTATTTCTCTTCCTCCCCCCCCCCCTCTCTGTCTCTCTATCTTGCCTCGTCATGTTCTTTTGGCTCAATTTCTCACCTCATGATTTATGACGAATCTCACCATAAACTAAAATTTACTCTTCTCACGCTCAGAGATTCCTGCATTACTTATATATCGCATGTACAGAACATTTTATATCGAGAGAAATGAGATGAAAGGCCTATAAATAAAATATTTTTCGATTTTCACGCGCGAAGTCTTTGATTGCTAGATTTTAAATTGAAAGAACGTCTGAACGAAAAATCGATAATATCGTCAGTTCATATAAAATAAATTTTATAAACGGAATATAAATTTTCTCCTTCTTTTAGAGATTATTTCTCTCTTTTTAGAAGTTATCTCTCTTCCTCGGAATAATGCTCGAATGTTTATTGAGATGTCATAATTGCGGAAATCTGATAAACATATTAATTCTGTGCGTATGCGCTTCCGAAATTACAGATATATTGTATCTTAATTTATTGCATCAATTCGGGTGCACGTTTTACTCCGTTGACGCTACCTCCCGTGCTCTTCCGCCATCGAAATGCCACCAGTTCGCGATCAAAGTGTATTGAGTCCGTGAGATGAATAATTTATACGTATAATACAATATCGTCCGTTTAATATTCCATAGACTTGGTCCTCCAGCACGATACGCTCATTTTAACGGCTCTACTCTGAATGTTAGAGCATATACTTGGTACACTTATCCCCGAGAGATTAGCGAGCACGCAGTTAGCGTGGGTCCCAGCATTACGTTTTCGCATTACGGTTCCACTCATCTCTTGAAATCTCTCCGGCTTTACTTATACACGAGAAGAACTCCAAGAGAGGACTAATGATGTTAGCACGTGAAAAAAAATGTCTCGGCCAACATCAAAGTTTCATTCCTTTCACGGTAACGAGATGTGTTACCTCCGCAGGACAGATCTCTTTTTGATTTGGCTAATAATACTTAAAACCAGCACAGACATGTGCAAAGAAAGTCTAGTTGGAAGGTCTGGCTGAAAGCCGGACGAAAAAACTACGTGAATATTTCATCGGATGAGAAAAGTTTTCAATACGCATAGAGCTTTCCTTCTCCTATTTTTAGCTTTCATCGCCGCAATTATTATTATTGTGGGTAATTTTTTAAATATTCATAATCTGCAAGGGTCTTTCAGAAAAAAGAAGAGAAAAACGTTTCGACGGAAACCAGTTGATCGTGCAATTGTATGCGCGCGGAAATTGTCAGTGCTCGAATAAGTGACAGCTACTGTATAAGGAGCGCAGATATAATCGCGCTATCGATTCGAGGTCCGAACGCGGCTGGTACGGCCTAGAACAGAAATAACTGAAAATACAGCCCTATCGCCGCACAAGTCGCCAATGGCAATTCAGAGAGGAGGGGAGAGAAAGAAAAAGAGAAAGAGAGAAGGAGAGTCCCGAACTGCGTCAAGCCAAATTGCTTTCTTTCCATTTCAGAATATCACTTATAATACGGAGGATAATTTTTATCACAGCAGGGGGGAGGACTCGCTATTTATTCTACGATATATATTCCTCCCCCAATATATAATCCCATTCTTTATTTTTAGACAATGTCGATGTAAAGAGCATGTATAAAAGAAGAAAGTAACGTTCCTATAAAAGAGAAGCGTCCCTAGAGAAGTTATAGCCGCGGAAACGAAGAGTTGAGAACCGCGGCCTTAAAACAGCACTGCAGATCGATACCATGGCGGCTACTACCCTTAAACTCTGAAATGTGGACCGAAGTATGTTGTGGACGCAAAATTCCAAGCTTTCGTCGACATTCGTCGTCGCAATTACGTATAAATGGGAGAAAAAAAAAAGACGGAGAGGCAAAAAGAGAGCGAAGATGTAATGGAAACAAGATGAAAGGCTTTTTATGCACGCGGCTCGCTCGAGAGGGCGAATCGTCGAAACGTCCCTTTCCGTCGAAATCTCGCTTGAAATCGTCATCGAGCATATCCGTTAACTTTCGACGAATGTTAAGAACCAGCTTCGACATTCTAGATTTGCATTGCGCGAAATGTCGCGCACCGTCGATTTATCTATCTAGCGCAAGTGCATAATTCACGTGTATAAATTATAAATCGACGCGACATAACGAAATACGTACGAGTCTCCGAGTTCTAACTTCGCCCCGACCTGCTTTTCTCGCCTGTCAGGACCGTTTCCTTCGTGTGTGCACTTTGAGTAAGGCGATCGCCTCTCGTGCCTGCGTGTCAGTCCCGCGTTGACTTATTGACTGAGGTCCGTTAAACGAGGCGAAAGGTCCGTAGGGTCCGGGAAAGTTAACAGATGAACACAAGGGGGACATGTGAACCGGTAACACACTCGCACACACATAGACAGACACACGCGTCGTGTACACGCGTGCCGCTATCGTGTCCGGAGCAGGCGCCGATGGGCTGGGGTGCTGATCTCGATTTAATTAACGCTGGTTTAAATACCGTCGAACAATTTACTAGCAGCTTCGAATACCTCATAGCTGAGCAAAGTATTTTGCTATCATGCGAAATAGTAGAACAGTACAGTCTGAGAGAATACGGGTATCTACCGGATAATTGATAGAAATTTGGATGAGGAATTTGGATAGTTGATTCCACTTGATTAAAATGTCTTTCATATTTTTCGCCAACATCATTATTCAAAGCATTTCAGCGCCGAAAGGAATGTCTTCTCGAGAATGAACACCTTCTCCAGTGAACGACGAGCAGGAGGCAGATTCCTCGCGCGAACGCGTCAATGTCTCATTCGTCACGTCACTTAGAGTGCGTTTGCAACGCTTGTGTACAATCCACGATACCTACCCTCGCTTCTCACGTCCCGCTACCTCACGGAACCAACCCCTCAAGTAGAAGTGGCTCGTATCCATAAAAGATAGGGGCGAGAGTAAAGGGCGCACCGTGATCGCGCCATGCGTTCGCACGTGAATACGCATAGTGCGTTGCATCAGAGGGAATCGGTGTACCTCAGTGAGAAAAAAAATTCAAATTCAGAGAAGGAGCAGAATTTTTCGAATCGCGAAATGGAAAGGAAATGGCTCGATTTATCTCGCTATGTGTAGTCTACCATTTATCCTTATGTAATGATCTTCGTATCTAAGCGCCATATATATTGTTCGTGGATTTACGGGGGACAGATGCCATTACTCGTGTTCTATTGTAATGCGAGTCTCCTTCCAGCGCGGAAAAGAGACGGCGAAGATCCGGGATGTGTTGCGCGAAGTTGGCGAAGAGAAGACGATTCGTTTCCAGAGGAAACGAAACGCTATATACGTAATAACGCGCGGACATAAGGAAGGAAGGAAGGAAGCCAGGAAGGAGGGTTCAACCCCCGAGATTTTAAGCCGGTGATATTAATATTGGAGAAACCGGCGACGGAGAAGCTCGAAGCGTATATATGTGCTAGGCGTAGTTTGTGAAATCGTACGACGTAGATAGGTAGGTAAGTCTATGAGCACCTGCAGGCAGTTTGTTAAAAGCGCATACGGCTTAATATCGATTAAGGGCCACAAAGGACTCCTGCTTCGCTCTGGCCGTTTACTATCGATACCGAGATTACACCAAGTTTCGATCACGACGGAGCCGTCGACGCGTATACAACGTATGTATGTTTAACGCAATACGTGTTGCGAAACTATTAAATTGCTTTGTTCAAAATATTGGCAAACTTTGCAATTATTATCTGTCATATAATCTTTACAGAAATTTGAATCATAGTGTTTTGACGATAAATCAATCGAGAATATAAATTGTACATAAATGTAAATAATATTATCAAGGAGCATTAAATAGAAAAAGGTAGAGAGAAAGAGAAATTTATTACTCAATTTATTCAATTTATATGAAAATATCGAGGTACTAATATTATCACACACGATAAAGTAATGTAGAGATTGATGGATCGCACTAATTAAGATAAAAACAAAAGAATCGAATTTGTTTAAATAGAAATGAAGATGGAGCATATTGTGCATATTTGATGTTTTTACTACAAATACTCGATCCACAAATGGATTTATTACAATTAACAAATGAAATCTACAAATGAAAGTTTTTAATACTACCGAGTAGGCAAACATAATTATGATTCAAATTTGGACTATGTACTAATATTTTCTCTAATAACGATGAAGAAGAAAACATTCATATTTTTATTAAGCACTTTTTCAATAATACGATCATGTGTTTGATAAAAGTTTTGAAGTTGATTTATCTATCCCTTAAAAGTTGGATGGTTGGATCAATTTTAACGAGGATAAATGAACCAGTTTTTAACTGCGATGAATCTCTATTTTAAGTCATGTATTTTCAAATAGATTGCAAGGAAAATTAAATATTTTTTGAAATAAAAAGAATGCCATTCGAAATATCGGAAACTAGAGGATGCTCGACTTGTTAGAGAGCTGAACATAGAACGTAATAATTCTTATAAATGAATTTCAAAAGCACTTTGATAACTAATTTAATAATAAATAATAATTTAATTTTTCTCAATATAAACTTACTGTACACTTGTTTAGAAAATTAATTAGTCTATCTAAATTAGATTAACTATCTAAATTATTTAAATTTACGAAAAATTATAATTTACTCTTTTTTTCTCTCAAAAATTTCTCTTCTTTTTCTTTCAAAAATTATTTTAGATTCAATTCTCGAAACACGTTCCTTTTCCATTTGTCTATCCATTTTATACTATCCTGAGGGAGAGAAACTTTCATGTTGTTTACTTTCTTTCCCTCGTATAAAAAATTCATTACTTCAGTAAAAATTACGTGTGAATAAAAAAAGTATGACGTAGATTGACATTTTAAGTGAATATTTAAGTAATTTAGAATTAAAAACGCTTGTTTTTACTCTACGTAATTAAAAAAAAAAGAAAACAATGTATCCCCTGCAATTAATATATTATATATATATATATATATATATATATATATATTAATATATATAATATATTAATCTTTATGATATTTGTTTTCCTCTAATGATTTAATATATCATCGTTCTTATTTGCAATGATATGAGACTCCATTTGCATCATGCAACCATCCCATTTCTTTGTCGATTTAATTCACACACTCTACAACCAGTTTTCGCGACTGGTATCGAGCAGATAAAGTGTATATACATTGGCTGCTACTAAATGATAACCCTCTCATGCTTCCTTCCATGATATTGCAAAGTAACGGTGGATAGAATATTGCTCGCGTCAAAAGACCCGATTTCGAGAATTGTGAAATCATGATATCTATCAGTTACCGAATTCATTGATTATGCATTCAAGTTACTATTTTAGTGTTGTAAAATTTTTTGAGCCACAGGATATATAAAAAAAATATTATTTTTGATATTAAATTATTCTCTAACCGAAAAAAATTCTGAAGAAAAGACTTCAAAAATACATATTGAAATATTTAAAGAGGAAGAAATTAAATACTGGTTTCCCTCAAACGTTCATGGGCGATTCAAGCTGACGACAAGAAGTTGAAGGAGAAAAGCGATACTCACTTCGCTACGATGCCCTCGGAGATTGTAATTTGCCCTGAGTGGAAGTTCCGCGGTTCTGGTACGACAATGCGATGTAGTAAAAGTCACCCCTACCAAGCCGCGAGCGTTGCCGGTAGCCAGCCATCCTTCTTGGTAGTAATTTGTACGATAGAGCTTCCATCCTTCATCCTGGTAAATAAGAGGAGCCAACCGTGTTAGTTGTTTCTTCTCGTGGAAAATAGCGCGAAACGTCATTCACTCGCGATTTATGGCGCCTCGATGATTTTAACGCGGTAATTTTTTTAACAATTCTCTCGAGGATGACATGGATATTTTTAAATCTATAACGATTGTAAATGGAATCGGAAAAAGAGCCGTCACGTAAAATATCGCGACCTACTTTATTTAATGATTGAAGTCGCCAACTTTCCAGAAAGCGACTTAAATAAGATATTTTCTGAATTTACGCGAATAAATTATCCAAGTGAGTTGTCATACCCAACGAAAACATTTCCTAAAACGTATTTTAACGCTGATTAATGTTATTCATTGAATGGAATTTAATACAAATTTCATTTGATACAAGTTACATATGCGCTTTTGCACGACGAAGTATATAATAAAAGCGATAGATTGAAAATCAAATAATCAATTACATTAATTAATCGTATTTTTCAATATAAGATAGCATAATCGTTCAGCGAAAATCGAGGATGCTTGTCAAAATGATCTATCGCTATCTATTTATATTGACACATAATACATTTTCAACTCAAACATGACATTATCAAGTAACAAAGGCTTCGATGCTGAAAAAGGGTTTCATCTTCCGACTATTACGTATGTGGGCGTAATTACAGGCAATTTGAATCCTTAGCAACATCGAGATACACGTGTGCATAGAAAGAGATGTCAAGTTTATCTACTGTATAATATCATAAATTTTCTTTCAATAGAGAATTTTTACGAGATTGTTGTAATACGAAAACGAGATTAAAGTTATATTAGTGTGTATTTCAGACTTCGGCTTTGGCACGGGAAACAATCGCAGAAAATATTCGATCTGGATAATTTGCATTTGTTCCCTCTCTCTTTGGCATTATTCCCATCGATAGACCTCTGCAATTTGCTGCAATGTCGAATGCAATTATTTTGAAAGAACATTCAAATTTTATATAATAATTATAGTAACGCGCATTTTTAACTAAAAAAAGAGTTTATCATTCTTTGCATAGTGTTGGGAAGAAATATATAACAAAATAGCAAAAGATTAAGAAACAAAAAATATCTCTGTAATATACTTCTGAACTTTTCGCATTTATATCAGAGACTTCGAAAATACGATCATTCTTCTTTTATCCGCGTTTGAAATTTTTTTAAAAATGTCATGTGTGCGAGATAATTATACCATAGAAATTCATTAAAATTTCAGATTAAATTACGGCTAAAATAACGCGACTAAAGCATACGAGTACTTTATAGCTCCTAGTAGATAAGTTGGCGTATTCTGACAGTTCGCGTATTCACCGGGTTGCCAGTATAATTAAAATGTAATCTAACGGAGATGTTTTGCGTAGCCATAATGAGATGTAGTCCAAGAGGGATACATCTACGCTGAAACAAGAGTAGAGTAGAGCCAGTAGCAATGTGGGAGACCGAAGTAATTCAATAGCCAACTTCCGCAGACAGCTATAAAAAAATGAAAGCCGGACGTGAAAACGCTGCGAGATCAAATCTCGAGACAATAATCCTTCGTGGTTATCGTAAAAAATTTGTGTCTCGCTCGTAAATCTTCGTTAGCGTTCAAATCTTCGTTGCGCGGCCCTCACGGAATCGCGTCCCGATTTCTATCCCTGTGTCGAGACGAAACATTTCGCAAACGTCGCGGCGTGATCGATGACCACGAGGGTGGTCTTTATTTGCAAGTCACAGTCATATAACAAACGGGGAGAGATGTGGCGAGGGAGGGGGGAGGGAAGATGCGGGGGAAGAGAAATCAGCGGTAACCCAATCTTCGCAAACACGTTGGGTGCAATCCGCGGAAAATAGGGGGCGAGGAGAAAAGAGGTCTCGATTGGTGGAAATCGATGTTGCGCGAAGACGGGACGCCTTGTGGAACGCGGAGTGCGAGGGAGGCGAGATTTTTTTTTTACCGTGGGAGAGTTTAGCTCGAAAAGTCTCGGTACAATTTTCCGGCGAACAATGGCACATATAGTAGCGGCCCTTGATATAATGACGTTATCGATGTGTGCGAGCACGATTTACAATAACTGGGAGTATAATGGAAACGTACGGAGTGGATTAGCTCGATTACACGCGACCGTGATCCACGTGAAACCTGCGCTTTCTGATTTTCTGACAGATGATTACGGATTTTTAGCGAAGTTCCTTTCCGTCTCTTGCTCCAGCGAGAAAATAAAATTGTCTATCGGATAAAAAAGTTTTAGCGGCAGAATCTTTTTAGATTCACGAGGTAGCACGAGAAAGACGAATCCTCGATTATGGCGCATTATGGTTTCTTTTGATGGATCGCCATTTATTCCTGGTGACCTTTTTCACGGAGACATCGAAAATTTATATCGCGTGTAATGGCTTATGGACATTTTCGATCGAGACCTCTGATGTATATAAATTCATAAAATATTGGCATTTTTCGTTATGAACCACTACATCTTACGACTACGACCGTATAATCAGGCACGAGAGAGTATAGTTAACGAAAACGGGAGAAAAAATAATGATATACTGCCTACTGATCGCGAATTCTTTCCCCGGGGATGGCAGACTCCGAGCGACTCGATCGAATTCGCCCTCTGCTAAGTCAATTATTTTTCCAGTAATTGAGCCCCCCGTCCCCAAGTGGGTTTTCATCGCGTTTCTTCCTGCGTTCCGAGGGCCGACTTCCGTCCAAATCGTTGATCGGCAGATTGGCAGTCTCCGGCGATGAATTGAAGTAGGCGAAACGAGAAACATGCTCGTCGATCGAGAAGCACGGTGGCTGTAATTAATTCTGATCGATTGCCTCATCCGAGAGTTCGGTAATCAAATTAATCCCCGTTGTACACATGTACACATTGCACATGTACACATGAATATTGAATCCGGAAGACATGAACAGATCATTAAAAGAAACGAGAAGAGAGAGAGAGAGACAGCGTTATAGCTTGAAGCGTATTATAGCTTTATGAAAATATAATATTCATGTGAGAATTATTTTTAAAAGCAAAGTTGTATTTCGTATTCAACAAAAAACAATTTTTTTTCTTTGAAATCCAAGAATGAAAAATTGCTTCTCATAGTTTTTTATATTAATTATAATTTCAAACTACTTTACTACAAATTTTAAAATCTCGATTCATGTACATATTGCATGGATAATAAATTAAGTAAATTGAGGAAATCTACCGAAACATTTTCCAATTGTTTATCAAATTTAAGAATTTTACAAAAAGCGAATATAAATCTAATATTAAAACTAAGAAGTTTTCAATCAATATAATAAAATTAAAATCACAAATGTAAAAAATTAAAATGTTTCGTAATAAAATTTCGTATTAAAATATGTTTTATAATAAAATTAATGAATACAATGGAACGAGTTTCTAGCGAATTTCTATTCCAGTGATGGATAATTAATTAATGTCCTCTGTCTTTCTCGCAATCTGACTGATTGTTTCATTATAAAAATTCTTAATCTTTACAAAAACACATGCGCTTTGAAAGTTAAAGTTCATCCGACATATTTTAATTTTGAACGAAATAAAACTTTTTTAATACATATTATATAATACGAAAAGTCAATTAAAATATTTCACAATTAAAATAATTTTCACAATTTTAAACTTCTCAGAATTATACTGTAATAAATCATCATTGAATAATATTGAGAAAAATACGGAGAATAATTATTCTTCTGAGGTTTTTTTTTCTATTGAAGCGTGTTATCGGAAAGAGCCACGTGTAATCCCAGAATCATTTACGTAAGCGGCGAATTGAATGGAAAATTTCCTCGATGCGAAAAAAAATTTTGCGATTACACACCCGCTTCTCTCTCGCTCCTCTTTGCGGTACCAGTTCGTGTTTCTCGATGACCTCGACAAGTGGTACGGAACAAAGCTCGTTGCGGGAAACTTGGGCACTCGTTAGTCGGTCCGTGAAAAGATCCACTCGAGACGCCGAGCACGATCCTCGTCGCCAAGTCAGATTTTATACGACGGCGAACCCTCCACTGTGAAATCTTTCACCCTCGCAACGTCTCGCTTCTTCCTCGAACGTGCAACGTGCACACCTCGTCCTGACAGATTCCGATCTTCGTTGGTAGTTGTTTTGATATGGTCTTTATTGACTTACGAGACTTTTCGCAAAGAGACGTCCTCGAAAATTGTAAGATTCTTGCCAGGAATGATATTACTTACATATTTACTCAATTACATGTGTAAAACGTTAACAGTTTTATAGGTAATCAGAGTTCTGATATATTTTCTAATGGCTGACTATTATGCGATGGAATCACTAAGTAGCGAATTAATTAATTGCAACCGCGAGATATCACCCAGGTCTGTTTTAATTTATTTGAAACGATATATAAACCTGTAAAGAGAATTAACGATTGTTATCAGTGGCATTTAATTCTCGACTTTGAAGTTGATGAGTCGCCGTTTTCTGTGAACACAGGACTTAGTATCGCTATCGTCGCACAAGATCTCTAATGTTACAAACAGATGTAAGATCAAGTTTCCTTGAATATATTACAGTATAGTATAATATATATCGTTGTAATATAATTCTACTGTAATTATAAGCAAACGAACGTGAGCTAATTGCCCTAGCCATTTCACGCGAGGCGGACAAATTAATTTCGCGCGAGCTTTCGCTCGAAGGCGAAAAGTTTCATCTAATCATCGTTTACTCCCAGCAAGGTATATGTCAAAATGCGACAATTTTGCATTTTTACTCGGGCCTATATATTTTACTGCAGCAGCCGGTCGCTATAATTTTTTTCTCCTCCAAATGTTATAAATATATCGCAAAATGAAATTTTATCTTTGAGTTGGAATTAAAAATTGACAATCTCTGTCGCGAGAAATTACAAATTTTTCCGATACTTCCAAGGCGATATATTATTGTAAAGGTAGAGTCTCCCCGCGATTATGTCAGCGCGTCGCGATCGACGTAAAAATAACTATGGATAATCTTGCGGAATCTAAAAATTCGCTGGAGAGCTGTCGAAATGAAGGGAAACCTTCGCTTGTAGATCGAGTTTCTCCATACGATACGCGATACGCGAACGAATATATGCAAACTTATTCACTCAACTTGCTCGTAAGGACAATTATCCGCAACGCACGTATTGTGCAATAATGCGTCGTTAGATTGTTGCATAACATACGCTAATATACGTTAATTTGTATTATTAACGATTGCGAGTAACGGTATCATTTTACTTCATGATTCGCGGAACGCGATGCAATAAAATATATTTTTAGCCTCTTGCACTTGCGTTCGATAAAATGCGTCCAATTTATATCTGAAATTTTTCCTCTTTGATTTCGATTTGACTTTTAAAGGGAAAGCGTAGAGAAATTTTCTGTCATATCCGCGTACCCCGATGCAATCAACGTATGATAAAAAAAAAAAAAAAAGAGAAACTTTGATGTCAATAAAATCGATCGAGTGTAAGAAATAACAAGAAATAACACTGATGCATCTGAAATGATTGGATCAACTATTATATTATTCCAAAGTAATTTACCTCCGGCGACTCGTCCGGCACTTTGCCCATCCAGCTGAGCGACAAGATATTGCAGTCGCACTTGGCGTTGTTATTCTTCTCGAAGTGCAGATGCATGGTTGCGACGCGGTCGTCCTTTCCGTCGGCATCAGGTCCATCAATCTATCGAATCGGCATCGAAACCGTTTGCCGCTCCGGATTGTCCCGCGGCCGAATTCCACCACGTCGCTCTTTCCGCGAGCAGCATCCTCGAGTACGTCGCGCACCCTCCTCCCCCGACTCGCCTTGGATCCCGTGATCGATAATCGAATCACACAGCTCACACGTCAGCGCGCCCGCACGCGACCAGCGTGTGTCCCGCGGCCGAATCCCTCATGGCCAACCCTCGTGATTCCGAATCCGGGAGGTAGGTGTTCTCCTCCTCGCACCGGGAAGGGGCGGGGAGCGCGTCGCGCTCGCGACGCGTCTCTCTATCTCGCGACCCGATCACCGGCCCGGGAGGAACAATACGCACGTATAATTTCGCTCGCCGCCCCTCGGAGGAGAAGAACCACCGCCGTCGAAACCACCCCTGATGGATTTCGCGCGACTCTCAGTTTATCGCTGTTCGCCAATCCCGAATCATTTGTTTCTTATCACGACCGCCATTTTGCCGCCCGAGACGCTACTCCACCTTTCGAGGTTGCCGATCCCCGTGCCGCGCTTTACGTGCGGGTGGACGTGCGTGTACCTCTCTCTTTCTCCTGCTCGTGTTCTCTCTTTCTCTCGTTCGCGCGTACCCTCGATGCGCACAAGTACCCCCGACGCGAGCGTGCGTCCGACTGAAAGCTCGGCCGCGCGCGCGGGCCGTCACCGCCGCCACCGCCGCTGCCGCCGCCGCCGCCGCCGTCGCGTTCTCGTTTCTTCCGTTCGTCGCGTCGCTTTCGCACGACGAGCGTATTGATTAGAGCCGGCCGTTCCGCGAGACCGTCTCGCGCTCTTCTCCGGTGCTCCGCGTTCAACTCGCCGCGAGCTTTTCCGCGACCGGCGCGACCGGAGCCGCCCCGCTTCCTGCTCACGCGGATGTTCGCGGACCGTCTCGGTGTCGTTTAGATCGCAAATTGATCCATGTATTCGATATATTTGAGAACGATATATTGGAAACTCATCCCGGCAAACACCAAGTAACATTTATATAATTGTAATTTCCTACTCGATATAACTGTTACATAAATGTTATATAACTGTTATTTGGGGTTTGCTGGGATTTTTTGTTTGTTTTAATACCTTGTCGAAGATCTCTCTCTCGAAACATGATCGTATCTTTCGATCTTACTTAAAACGTTAATAATTCTTTTTTATGCTGATGTCGATATTTTAATATAGTTTATGTGGAATCGTGAAAAGGATAAAGCGAGGAGGAGGAGGAAGACAAATTTTACGCCGCTTTAGATACATCGAGCTTTTCATTGACTAACAGTCGATTTTTCTCTTCCTCTCTTGCTACGAAGACGTAATAAATTTACGTAATAAATTATATAAATATCTTTAGAGAGGAGAGTGCGCATATCTTTCTCTTTGACGATCTCTCAAGTAGGATTTGCTTTGGAAAGATTTATTGCGCCTTTTACTTATCATAGCGACATCAGCGTAATATTCTTGATTATGGTAAAATATAAAAATTAATAAATGTAATATATTAATAAATAAAATATAAGATTAATACGCACCTTTTTTTCCGCAAGAAACTTTTTTTCGTTTAAATTTGAAAATAAACACGTGTAATTGACAGATGAGTAGCCGATGAATAAACGTGAAAATAGTTGATATCGCGCTTGTCATTCATTCTCTCTTCGATTATCGACTGTCTTAGTATCGACCTATCGACTGTTCTCTCATATTGTACGCAGGCGCAACAGCTTGACATGATATTTTGTTGCTTGCTAAAAGTTGCAAATTTTATATTTTAGAGATCGTACTTATATTTTGTTAATCATGGATTACAAGGATGAGCAACGCAATGAAATCGAAGCGTTGGAGTCAATTTATTGCGGGGAATTGGAAAGTATGTACTATGATAAGTTTCCTATTATATAACCTCTCTATATGCCCGATTAAATGACATGTAATGATAATTTAATTTTCGATATGAATTATTTATTGCAAATATTTCAAAGACCCGAATCTGTCCTCTCTTACACAGTTTTAGCGACAGAACCGTTTTATACGTTTGCTATACCGATTAAAACGGAAGAATACGAGACAGAAACTGACAATGGTCTCAGTTGTCGGTTAGAATTTACATATACGTCAAAGTATCCAGATGAACCATTACTTATATCAATCACGGAGCAGGAAAATTTCGAGAATGGCGATGATGAGAAATTGAAGGCACATTTGATGGAACAAATGAATGAGAATCTGGGCATGGTGATGGTTTTTACATTAGTTAGCGCGGCTCAAGAATGGCTTAATGTACAGTGGGACAAGATAAAAGTGAGGAGAGAAGAGACTGCTGCGAAAAAACAGAGAGAGGAAGAGGAAGCTGAAAGGGTAAAATATTTTAGATAGAGACACATGATTCATAGATCAATTGTAATAATGTCTTTTGCTTGGTAGAAACGATTCGAGGGAACTCGTGTAACTGTGGAGTCTTTTCTGAGCTGGAAGGAGAAATTTGATGAAGAAATGGGTTTTACAAAACGAAGAGAACTGGCAGACCGTGAGGGAAAAAAATTAACAGGCAGAGAATTATTTATGACCGATAAAACATTGGATCAATCAGATCTTAAATTCTTGGATGACGGTAACATAGTTTGACCTTATTCCTTTGTGAAATTAAATCTATTTTTTATTTCAAAAACACTTTCAAATCTGATATATAATTTTTATTATATAGGTGATGCTGTAAAAGTAGATGAAAGTTTATTCCAAAATCTAGATGATTTAGATTTAGAAGATGATGATGATGACGACCCAGACTTTGATCCAAATATCTCGGATGATAGTGCCTAAATGGGTTTAATTCAGTAGTCACTAATGAACTGATATGTAGAACAAGTTATAAAAAAATTTACTAAATTATTACAAAAAGAAAGTAAATAAAAATATATATTTGAAAATATATTTTAAGTACTAGAATTTCTCTTGTGAGCTGGATATATTTAGTAGAAGAAATGACAGTGATAAATGAACTGTGGTTGAGACAGATAACATATTTCTTCAACCAATATTTCACTAACAGATAAAATTCACAACTGAAAATATTTAAAGAGCAAAATAATTTTTATACTTATATATATATATGAATTTTGTTTATAAGCTTTGTTTATTAAAGAAACGCGCATAACATCTGTTTATGTTAATATTCCCTCTTCTTCCCTCTCATATATTCATTATTCAATAGGAATACAAGATAAATATATCATTGATAAAATAACGATCAGAATTTAACATTTATTTTATAATCTCATAACATTATAATTTATATACTTAGTAGTATATTATAGTAGTAATTTATAGTAGTATATATGTTTGTAATCTAAAATCTATTTCTTCTGCAATGTCCAAGATGTTTATTCATGACAGTATAATATATTTTCTATATGAAGACTGCATGATTCCAAAAACTTATTTTGTGGCAGTAATCAAAATATATATAATATTATCGATAAATACTTGTATTTCACAAAATGTAGGTACTTTTCTCAATGAAAATTTCATTTGATTAATCTGTATCTCATTTTTTTCTACAAAATATAAGAATGCATATCACATGACAGAAATACAAAAGATATTGATATTACAATTGGCATTATATTTTTATATATAATAATCAAAGTTTCTCTGATAATTCTCTGCACCTTATGATGCACAATTGTTAGTAACATTAGTAACTGTTTTACATGGTTTACTTATTTTACGCCATTATTTGATAAAAATTAGGAAAATAGAGATTCATTTTTAACAGCATATCAAATAATTATAACAAGAAGAGCAATTATTCATTAATTACAAGTCTAAAATACAAAATAAGTATGATGTATTTTGTATGTTATATGATATAACGATAGTAGTATTACTATGTTATTAAAAATAGTTTTGTAGTCATTTTAAATCAAGATGTTAAAAAAATAAATAATCTATAGTATATTGGAATATCTTGACAATCCATACGTCGAAATTAATGAATAGTTGTATACATTATATACTCGAACATATATGTATAAAATTCTGCGTTGTGTTCAACATCGCTACGTCATTATATTAAATAAATAAGTACATGAGATTATTTAAAAGTATTAAGAAACATCGAGTATAATCATGTCAATAACACTTGTAATTTCTTAATACTAAATAATATATAATATTCATATAATACCAGTCGCAACGATAGAGATTTATTTTTTGACTACAAAAAATTAAATTAAGATTAAGATATATATCAAAGTAGTCATCTCGCGTTTCACCAATGTGTTATAATCTGTTAAGAAAAAAGTCACAGTTAGTCACACAATATAGTAGTAAATTTCATAAGTTTAACCAAGCAATGTATAAACCAAGCAATGTATAACCAAGCAATAAATAAATAATATTCTTATAAATAATTATTTACGAAAAAAATAATGATTTTAAAAACTACAAATAAATATAACACAGTTTGAAATCTTATCAAAGAGACGTTAATAGTCGCTAATTAATCGCTTGGATAAACTTGAAAAATATTAAAATGTACAATGTTAAATTTAATTTTATCGTCCAGATGAAAGTTTTTTTTAAAGAAAATATGTGTGTGTATTCATGTTAAACATTATAAAGATTCTGTGCTTATCGATTACAATTAACACATTCTACGGCCGTAAAATCTTAATATTGCATGTTACACAACAAAATCAACTTCCAGCAGAAATATAATAGAATAATAATGATACACATTTAGAGCATATATAGATTATGATATTCATCTAGAGTAAAATATTAATTTAACAAAAAATATTGTTACATGATACAAACACAAAATCTCTTCTTTATTTAGCAAAAGGAAGAAAATTTCTATTAAGAAATTATATGTTTTTAAATCACACAAGAATTTCAAGAGACGAACGAACGTTATCATTTAATATTTTAACATTATTACTTTATATCTTCATATTGCATGACTTTTACATAAAGCATTCAAAAATATATTGCTTAAACTGGGGATAAAAATATATTGCTAAAACTGGGGATAAAAATTGCAATCATCATTTTTAATGTGATCTACACACATTTCATTCTTAAGTTTTAGAAAACACTCATAAAAAAACTAGAAATGCCAATATGCTTTCCTCAAATAAGTCTTTACACAATCAAATCTATCATTAATATCGAAGAAAGTTATTTCAATTTTTGATCAATCTTATTTTTGATTCGCATTTATATTCACATTTACTATTTAAAATTTTTTTAAATATTAATAATTTTTTATTTATAAGATATATCGCAAAGTAAACATTTTTGAAAAGCATATGTCACAATCTTTGTTCAAGTTTGGAAAATTTCATTTTCGGGAGAATTATTTTTCAAGAAGGATAAATGGTCTTCAAGAAAGGAAGTAGAAAGAGAACAAGTTGTTCGAACATTATCATCTGTAAAAGAGAAATCGGGAAACTTAAATAATATATTTAATATTTTATGACTGATTTTTAATAGAGCTCGCGTGACGGAAAAATTCTGGAATCTAATTATCATTGATAAGGGGAACTATTAATGTTATTTGATATACATTTTTACATACATACATTCTCCGACATCGAGGAACAAGAAAATATAATGTATTTTTTACAAAATGTGACTATATGTTGTATATAAACTTTCCTTGTACTTTCGATAATTATTCTTACAGAAATACTTTTTTTTAAATATTGCTACATAGAAGGAGAAAACAGATGCTGCATTATTAGCTTATTGCGCATATAAATAATGCTGTCAGCAATCGAATCATGCTGTTGCATACTATATTAACCATTGACATCTGAATAGATAGACGGAGCCTTTTGAGAGGGGTAACTAATAAATGCAGTAAGGCGGGGAGCATGAACTTCGGTTAATTTCGTCAATGTTCAACTGTATTCGGCACAATTTGACATTACATGACGATTCCATTGACATCATCGATTCTCAACTAGATTTTCACAGAAATCTTTAAAGAGTGTTTATTTAGAGAAAATTTAAAGAAAATATAATAATATTAAATAATATATAAAATATACGTACACACATACGTGTGTGTGTGTGTATGTACGTACATAATATGATGTATATATATATTATTGAATACCTATATATATATATATATATATATATATATATATATACATATATTATATATATTAAAAATAATGTTAAATAACATATATAAATTTAAAAATAATATGACACTAGTCACAACACAACTTCGCATAATACATGTGAGCTGAACTTTAATGTCAATGATTGGAATCGAATTATTAACCGATCATTATCGGAAATAACCGAATTCAATCGAAGTTCATAGAGTCCCCCCTTACTGCGAATATCAAAGCCTCCCTCGTCTTAATCGATAGCCAATTCGTCTATCTATTCAGAGATGAATGATATTAATACTTCGTGCAAATAAATAACTTCCCTTACAATTAAAATAGTTTGCAAGCCATTTTGCAGATTTGCATATGCCATGAGTGATTATAAGTCGAAGAAACATCAATATTTTTTAAGAATAATAATGATAGCCTCCAACTTTATACTCCCAGCTGATGAAATTCACTACAGATGTTTTAAATCGTGGCGGATTTCTATTGTATCTCTGGAAAAAGATTAATTAAGCTTAACCAATTTTCATCGAAATTTATTGTGAAAATGAACAAATCGAAGAGAGGCAACACTAGGTAGCGATAGAATGAATGAAATATTATCTGAATGAAGCGGCGAGTTTATATATTATGTAAAATGTGTCCAAGCTTATTGTTTAGTAATGTTAAAGCCAACATTAACATTATTCTTTTCTTTCGCAAAATAAATCGCTATTCAGAACGCAAGAAATTATTTAAGAACAAGATGGAGTATCAATTTTATCATTGCATTTGCAACTATTATTTACAAAATAACATATTCATAAATATTAATTTATAAAAGAAGATAGTGATAGAAATTTCATTTACTTTTTCAAGCATTATGCTCATAGAGAAAATGCAACAGAAAAAATAAGAAAGCAACATGCAAAGTTTGTTGTATCAAAACGAAAGATTTATCAAATCTTCTAAAGACTCTAGTTCACTATAATTAGACTTACTATTAATCCTACTCGTTCAGGCCGTCATAGAATCGCTGTTGCGACGCTATTTGCTACAACTAACTTTGATTTATCTATTTTTTCAACCCTACAGCTTGTTGCGAAAATGTTAAATCTTATCCTTTGATTGCAATCTATCGTGCAATTGGGAAATCGTGATTCGAAATCACACGTTGTACTTACTTTTCCGGTAACATACGAGGCTTGGCATAATCACCCGGCCATTCGTATAAATTTGGCAGTGGACTGTCATAATTGGCATCGTACATCTTACTCATGATAAATTGTCGCTTGTCTTTCGGTTCCGGATATTCGCTCGCCAAACCACCTGTATTTAACGGTAGCAACAGATAATAATGAATTGAATAATACGATTAGCAATATTTTTCAATTCTGAAATTACAACAATATTAACCTTTGGCGTAAGCGTAATCGGCTATCCTAACCGCGATGTCAATAGAGCATTCCCGGATGATATTTAGTGGCGGATACACACTACCCCTCTGAAGATCCTCATCTTTTACATGATCGGCGACAGCTTGTGCCGAGATTAAGAAAAGATCCTCGGTGATGTGATGTACTCCGGTGCCGATAACGCCTAAAGCGATACCAGGAAAGATGTACGCGTTATTGCCTTGTCCAGGTTTATACGTTTTTCCGTTGTATTTCACTTCACCGAATGGCGAACCGGAGGAGAATATGCACCTACCCTAAAAACATAGACAGATTCAACAAGATGGTTTAAAGCAAATAGAGTTATCAATGACGTTATTCGCATGCGATTTAAACATGGATTATTATTCACATTGGTATAATCGTACGCCTGCTGTGCTGTACATTCAGCTTTGCTAGTTGGATTACTTAGAGCAAAGATCAACGGCCTCTCGTTATTCTTTGCCATCTCTTTGAGAACTTCGGGAGTGAAAGCCCCTGCCGCTGCCGAAGCGCCTGCGCATATTTTAATTTTGTATACTCGGAGGTCGCTTAAATAGAATACTATTTTAAGAGTACTATATGTTTATTTTACCTATCAAGACGGTAGGTTTCACCTCTCTCACGACTTCGAGTAACGTTTTCATAACTTTGTAATCCTTCGCGTACCAGATCTTGTGGCCTTCCAAATTACCTTCCGGCCGATTCTTTACGAGCAATCCATCGATGTCCATCATCCAGATATTATCACGCGCTTGCTGTTGAGTACAACCGTCAGCCTCCATCGCTTTCACGCAGAGATCAGCTATTCCGATGGCCGCCTACACAGTCAAGTAAAATAAATATTATTATTACGAAGTCTCTGATGAAACATATTGTTTAGCACTCGAAATATGCAGTTATTACACCGTCGAAAATTTACCTCTCCGGCACCTAGGAAGACAAATTTATTATCCGCCATTCTCTTCTTAGTTATTCTCTTGGATGCTAGGATTCCAGCTACCGCAACCGCAGCCGTACCTTGTATATCATCATTGAACGTACAGTACTTGTTTCTGTATTTGTCTAAGAAACGGAAGGCATTGTGGTTGCCGAAGTCTTCGAACTAAAACATAATAAGAACGCGCTATTATTATCATATCAGATTCACGTATGTATTACAGATGTATGTCAGCTTACTTGAATAAGAACGTTTTGTCCGTACTTTTGCACGCAGGCAGCCATAAATTCATCGATTAATTCGTCATACTCGGCACCTTGGCTCCTAGGTTTATTGAGACCGATGTAGTGAGGATCGTTCCTCAATTGCTCGTTATTAGTACCCACGTCGATAGTGATCGGCAGGCATTGATGAGGTTTAATGCCAGCCAGAGCTGTATAAAGCGCTAGTTTTCCGACGGGGATACCCATGCCGCATGCCCCGAGGTCGCCGAGACCCAAAATTCGCTCACCGTCTGTCACGCAGATGGCTCGCACGGCTTGCTCCGGCCTAGCAATGTAACAGAAGTCATCGTAAATATAGAAAATGATCAAAGAAATAGACATTACATAAAAATAGAGACTAAGGCGCTATATACTGTACGCGTAAAATAATTAGTTTCACTTATAGTCGCATATTATAATGTAAAGATAATGCTTGCGTTGTACGTATCACGAGGGATTCTATTTTTAGCAAACACACGCAGACGAGTTTAAACTCTATGTTACGTGTCCCCGACCAAAATCGCGTTCTCTTTCAATTCACGATCATTTCTTCATTAATCATGTAATTTATTAGAAGAGGGACAAATACGAATGTTAATAAATGCTATCGTTTTTTTTCACAAATACAATTTAGAGTGCAAATACAAGATTTTTTGGGAGGATACTTTTTTCGATACTAACCAGTTATTCAAGATCTCGTAGATATGACCCTTATCGTATATAGTAATGAAAAGACCGCGAGGCCTGCGATAGATCACGCCAAACTTTTGGCAGGCCAGACCGACGGTGGGCGTATAGACAATTGGCATCATCTGTTCGATGTTTTCGCTCAACAGACGGAAAAATAATCTCTCGTTCCTCTCCTGGAAATCATTTCGCGAAGAAAGTTAAGGTCGGGATGACGATTTTAAACGCGATGAAAAGAGAAGCGCCGCTCACTTGAAGCTCCACGAGATACAGATATCGGTTCAGATCCTCCGTGTACTTCATCACTGAAGCTTTACATAGTGCCAGCTGTTCCTCCTGCGTCTTAAATCTGGGAGGTTGCAATCCGTGTATCCCCAGAGCTATCCTTTCTTTCAAGGTGAATGCTAAGCCCTGTGTCATTGTGTCAGAAAATATTTATATACTTTTGAAAAATCGTTAGTCGAAAATTTCGAAAATACAAAGTACCTTGTTAAGTCGGGGATCTCTGAGATGTCCGATTCCCTTTACCATGTTTATCGGCACCACATCTCCCGAGACTTCGTGGATGTTCCTTTGCTGGACGCCGTCTTTCGCGGCGATATGCGTAGGTGGAAGCGCTCGCGTCCATGATCCACCGCAATTTCTGCCACTGACCGATCTGGCACACATACGTGAGAAAATATTATATTCAGAATTCTTCGACAGCATTAAACTGCGTGTTATTCATGCTTAATAGAAGTTTTTAAATAGAAGTTTTTTCTTTTTTTTTTTCATGGTCGACAAAGCCGCAATTGACGCTCGCCGTGCGGTATTAAAAAATCCATCATCGACCGTCTACTATAATTAATGACGACATAGTCGATGAGTCATTCAAGAAATATCAACAGCGTGAGAACCGACAGAAGAAGTGACAGTTCTGTGCTAGCGAAATAAACATAACACCATCTCATAATAACCCATCTCATAATATCCATTTCACTCTCCAATTGCATTACATTATGTTATTATATACTTATATGATATCATTATTTATTTATATTAGATGACCGATGAACGATATGCAATTTGATGAAATTTAAGAAATGGAATTTATTGAAATTCGTTAATTCGTTGCAAATGAGTTGTTCTTATCATGTATTGTTTTCATTATCCTTTTACTGGTAAAAGAGATAGATTTCGTATATACTTAAAATTTACTCGGAGAAAACTGTTACTTTAATAGAGATCTTATACATAGATATATACATACATATCCTTATATTAATATTAATTAATAAAATTAGTAATAATTAATATTAATGTTACATAAATGTAACTTGATACTTTTCAACTTTAATTTTCTGAAAAATAGCGCTAATTACGAGTATTAAAAAAATGGAAAAATTATAGAGCTGACGTAACAGTTGACGTAATATTTATGTATTATGATTTCCTCTTTACTATTAATCGCAAAAGTGATAAGACCGATAAATGTCCGTTAAATGGAGATAATAATTAAATAATAATTAGAAATATTTGAAACTGAATACTATCAGTCTGATTGCGAATGAAGCTGTAAGTAGATAATAACTTTAGTGTCTGCTTTTTCTCCGAGGAAAATGCAATTCCTAAAATTCCCTTCCGGCGTACTTGAGAGGTTTCAAAATCAAATGAGATAAAACGATCTTCCGCGCCCGATATAAAATTGTCTCTCCGTGCCACGCCCGAGGAAAAACAATTTTATATCTTAAAAAAATTTTTCTATAATATAAAAAAAAATTATTTCAATTTCTTTCTCCGAAAATAATGCAACGAATCAACTGGTATAAAATGCGATGCTTCTGATGAAACGATCTTTGTTTTCACAAATTGTTCCAGAACGATTGAAAAACGATATCTCGTCGTAAATTTTGAAATACTGACTCGCGACAAGCATCTTACACCCACGAAATTACCTGACATCACCTCGAGAATCAAAGCAGGTTACGCTATTATTATTGCCGTGGCGTAAAGCCAGCTTTAAAGAAATAACCGTGCGAAATCCGTTTTAACGTATATACCGTTTTTAGTCATAATCCAGAGATGTGATGGTCATGGTATATTAGGCTTATACGTATTAGCCACGCCGCATTTAGAGCCTGAATCCCTCATGAGACACGCGTTGCTTTAAATTAAAGCAGCACATCCATAATGAACATTTACTTTTAAACAGGCACCAGATGTTCCTCTTCAGCGTTACATCGTCAAATACATCTTAAACGAGTTTTCTAATTCGTGATGGCGTGTTTAAAAATTCTATTTATTATTTTATATATCATGTCTGTCGTATACTTTTATGTATATATTTTATATTAATTTTGATAATTTTTCAAACGTTTTTATCATAAATAAAAGATTATGCTCTCACGATGTTTTTTATAGATTGTCTAATATCGCTTTATACGGTCTATAATTTGTGATAAAATTCAAGATAAAATTCTACCGATAATTTTATGTGCTATATATTTCAATATATGTGTCCTAATACATATTTTGTATACACGTGTATTTTTCAAATTTTTTTCATATTATATAAAATTATGAAATTAAAAAAAGATTATAATTCTATGAATTTTGTGTGTCCCGAATTAAAAATTAAAGAGATTTTAAAACGTGTTTAATGATACATTTTTTATTTAAATTTACGGATGTAATTGCATTATAATGTATAGAAAGAGCAAGCATTACGACTATGCTTTTATGCTTGTTCCGCATTGTCATTATAATTAGAGATAGTGTAGTTCCGACGTTATGATTAATGCTCGTGTAGCCCTTCCACATAAAGTAAATTTTATCGTTGTAGTTTCCTTATTGTCATCAAACAACTGAAACGATGTCGCGATTGCACATAATATATGCAGACTAAAAGAATCATTAACTATATACGAGGCCTATATATGATCCCGAAAAAAACTGACTCGAGTTTCTTTACAAAATGGAATTCCCACTAATAATAATTATGTAATTCTCCTCTCACCGACTTAATGGATTCTATAAATATCTGACAAAGTCACATCAATGATATAAGACAGCGTGACGTAATCCAGGTTTCACGTTGAAATTTGCATTGAGAAATACAATTCTTATGTACTATGTTTCTTGTCTCTTTTCTTACAACTCTATGATCGATCGACTATGACAATAGCGGTATTTTTTACATCGATTTGCCTGCCAAGAACGTTTGTGACGCTTTAACTCTTGCAAATTACATTTTGATTTATATTTACGAGCTTCTAATTAAAATATTCATCGTACTTCTGCGAATCGTTTATCAGCAAGTTATGTCTTAATAAAAAAATTACAAATGCAATAGCAGTAATTGCTAAAAAAAAGCATCAATAAAAAGCAAAAAAGAATCCTTAGAAATTAAATGTTTGTTATTAGCTGTCAGGAGAAATATTGTTTTTTCCAAGTTAAAATATAAGTTGCAATTAAGATGCAAATTTTCGCATGCAGATTAAATGACGCTTATATCCACGAAAAACTTATTGTAAAATATAATAAGTTTTGTTTAATAATAAATTCGTCCTTAATAATTACCGACAAAATTCCCGAAATTATATCTAATATATTTTTTCAACTTGCGCATCATAACGTGTGACATCACTTACGAAACGAGGCGATACGTGCATAGATCGCAAAACTGTTGTATTACCAGGAAGCGACGTTCGAGTAAATTGCGCAAATAATCGATTAAGTGCATCTCACGACTCGCGGATATGGAAGCGCAGCACGTCAAGTATCGTAAACTGAATCGAGCGCGGCGCGATAGAATAACTGAGCGCATCTGTCAAACCGCTTCGCCGTTTTATCGCCGTGCGATTGTGTTCATATACCGCTCTTATTATCGATTATCTTGAAACCACTTATAGATAATTTCAATGGTATGTCAACAATTTTGCGTCCAAAATGATAATTAATGAAAAAGAAAGATGATCCCTTCAGTTGTGTTCTTCTTTTTGATAATCATGCAATTTTATTCTACTCATGCAAAATGAGTCAAATTTTAAGAATAAATTAATAAAAGTAGATAAGTAAAAAATATTATATAAATATTCTGCTAAAAAAACATAAATAAATATATAAAAATAAATATTTTGAGAGAAAATAGTGATACGTATATATACATAAGATATAAAGTAAAGTAAATCGATAAAATCGACAATGTTTTTCTCTAATCTCTTGCTTTACTATTTAAATTTGAAAATCATTGATGTAAACGATAAACTTGTATTTCTTGAGGTTGTATCTCTTTCGATCATTATGTATAATCAGTAAGATAGTCGCAACTAATAGAATTAATAGACTAATATAACAGTAAATATAAGATGAAATATAAAACTATTTGTATTATTTAAATTTATTTAAATTTATTAAAAAATTATTTTATAAACTATTTTTTCGAATTCAAATATTGTATATAAATAATGTCGATTATCTTCCATGACTTTATAGTAGCTTAAAAATAAATATCATGTATTCGTGTTATTTTCTTGGATTAAAAATAAACTCTCTCAATATATGACTACAGTTATTCGCAAACGAATATTGTTCTTTATATCATATGTATGATGATTTTATAATAACAGTTGAAAAGTAGACGAAAATATTTATACGTTTGCTATTTTTCGTCTTTTAGATTGAAATGAATGCATATAACAGCGATTTGTTACTTGCTGAAATTTCGCTGCAGAATTTAAAAATGTAGTGATATTCTTTGATCGTGTGCACGCGATCAATTTTCAAAAAACTAATTTTAATTCAACCTTTAATTCGCGGCGTTTTTTATTTCTTTCTAATTTCACGAACGAATCGGCATGTGTCACTGTACGTCCCTGGTGCTTCCGGAACAGGGGCAATCACCATTTTTACCTTGACTTTACATCATGAGATTGTCCATGTTAATCCGTTATTTCCGCTGATTTCAATTTCATTCAGTAGAATGTTGGTTTGAATTCGATTTTATTCAGAAAATTGCAGTAAAGCTTACGAAAAAAAAGAATTGTATAGTGAAGGAAAAAGATAAGACTCGCGCAATATTAATATAAGTATTTCCAGTGACGTAATAGTCAGTGAAACGATACAGTAAATATGATAAGGTTTACTTATCTGCGTCAATTTTTATTTACGCAGTCAAAACGAATTAATTAACGACCGTTCGCAATTCGAGATTTAAAAAAAGACACTTTAGAATTCTCGAGATCTATATCGAATAATATCTATATTATATCCACATTTCTCGATAATTAATTCAAGATAAAGATCCTTGGATATAAATTAAGCGAGATAAAAATATGCTATTTAACCTACAGAGAAGTACTAGACAACTACTTTCCGCAACACCGCGAAAAAATTCATCGAGGTGACGAGCAGAAAATATTGTGAAAGAACAGAGTCCTTAGCAATCAAGGATTACGATCAAGGTCATGAGCGAAGGCCGAAAGCAAAGAGAGAAAGAGGTAGAGAATGAGAACGAGTCCCGAGGAACACCTGGACAGAGAAGCTTGTCTCGCTCGGCGCGTTAACCTGGCTTCGCTACCCGCTATCGATCGCCGGTTGGTTGCCGGGGCGTTCCTATTTTCAGCACCGCATTGCGGGACTAAAGAGAAGAGAGTTGGATTAAACCCTTTGTCTCTTCGCGTCCGAGGTGTCAGTTTCTTTCCCGAGGATCGCGAAGATCCTCCGCAAAGATGACACGCGGAGGGCGCGCGTTGATCATCGACGTGTTAGTCGCGGTCCGTCGACGACTCGTCAACGACTCGTCGACGACCTGGGGATGACCCGGGGACGACCCGGAGGCTACCCGGTCGAAGCGAAAGATTCCGCACTCTCGATTCAGTACTCACAATATAGACCTCTGCAGGACGAACATCTCGCTCTCCTCGTGCTACTCGCAGCTGATCGCACCTCCCACCCGGCAGGATCGACGCGCGCGACTGCGCGTTTTCGTGCGAGGGACGCCGGCCGCGCCTGGCGCGCCGGCGCCGCGACGGACGGCTAACTTCAAAGCGGTGGCTGGCGGCGACAAAAACGCGCCGCGAAAGGTGCGCCGCGTAGCGCGAACAATCGTGACGCCGACAATCGCAAAGAAATACGGAAGTCTCGTGTCCTTGTTCCTTTTAATTCTCCATCCTCTACGTCGCGTGAGAGATCCCCTGGAAGGTCCTCTTGCCGGATTTTAACACACGGATGCTGTCAGTCTGTGAGTTAACCTTTAATTATTTGACGCATAACAAGAATTTTCTTGAACGTGTATATACAATATACATATATGAAAATATATACATGTATGAAAATATATACATTTATGAAAAAGATCCTGCTGAGTTAAATATTTTCACGAATAAAAAAATATTTAAACTTTCGTAATTTGATATTAAACCGTCGCCATTTAATATTGGTAATTTGATATTAAACCGCCATTATTTCGATGTAAGAAATCTTGAAGCATTTGAGAATACATACTTTTCGAAAGTACTTTTTTTAGATATTTTTCGAATATTCAGATAAAGATATCTTTTATTTCTGAAAGAGCAAAGCTCGTTAACCGATAGTTAGTACATTCACAATCAGTTGTGAATTGGAACGTTGACAGAAAACGACTTGACCGACACTATACACTAATTATTATATCAAAAGAGAAAGAGAGCACCCCGTATCTTTATTCACATTTTAGATGTCAGAGGACTCTACTGTATCTTTATCGCGCGGTATCTTTACGCGGTATCGTTTGCTGATAAGCGACAAGCAATAAAAGAAATTTATACATGTAATACTTTGAAAATGGAATCGATGCAGATTAACGTGGTGTGAAATATAATCAACAATATCTATGTAAAATGTTGATTGAAATTACTAACGCAAGATAAACTGCATTCCAATTACATAATTAATTATTTATTGCTAATGTAATATTACACTAATTATTATAACCCCGTCGATGCAAATAATTAATTGAAACCGCAAATGTATGATTAGTTTCATATAATTTAACTATAGACCGCGAGTTGAAAATTAAAGGAAAAATAGTTATTAGACAATTAATCGTTTAAATTGCCTCTCACGTACATTATATAATCATGAAAGCTCCGAATAAATAGCTAATTTTCTTCCTTCCCTTTCTTGCGCTATTCATCGTTGGAGCAAATGCTCATAACGTGCATCTCTTCCAACGCTTGCGGCGAATTGTGCTGAGGCAGAGTTCGTTATAATGTCTGACCTGGGTTCGAATAATACCTAGAATAATTATCTCAAACAATTATGCTAAGAAAGACGTCAACGCATTGTAAGAGCATTTCTCGTTTCGTAGCTTCTTCGTAGCGTAACAAAGCGATCTCCTTTAATAATCTACTAAAGTTACGACAGAGTTTAATCGTTTTCAGTCTTATATAGGTCGCTTTCTAGTCTCTCCGAAGATAGCAGAATTGATCGTTAATGATATTCTATGCATTAAGCTCCTTTGAAAAATTTCTTCCAAAATCCATTTGGCACCGAAATACATCTGCAGACATAGGATGTCCTGAATTAAATGTCAAAACTTTGGGAGCGCATAAGAGATCGCTAAATATATATATATATGCATAAAAAATTTGTTCCTAATTTTTTTTGCAAATTTCTCCAAAATAAAGCAGAAGCGAGCAAATTTTTCAAGGATCTTTATTTCCTCGGTTTATCCCTACTCGCTCTCGAAATTTTGACATTTAAAGACATCCCGTAGATTTCCAATGCGGTATAATTTGAAGAGGGAAAGAGGGGAGTATAGGAAATGATTAAAAATAGAAAGAGCAACCGTGAATGTATCGTGTGAGACGTATGGATTCATACGTGAATGTTTATTAAGGACAATAACGATGTGTGATTGCATTACATTCTCGTAACTTATGCGTGAGACACAAGTCGGGCCTCACGAAGGGCCTCAAAACAGAATAAGAAAATACATCCGCTGAGTTCTTAGCGGATACCGAAGTCGGTGCCCCAACGTTCTCCAACTGGTCGTTCCTTCCGGAGCACGACTACGATGTGCTTTCGTAGATAGTTTTAACCGCAGGACATAGTTTCGGGATGCGCCCCAGGCGCGCGCAATTTGGATAATTCGACTTTATAGGTCCCAGTAATAGGCGGTGTGATACGCGCGAAAGGATAATAAAAGTTACGTTCCTAGGACTGCATCCTAGTCCTTGATTATGGGGCGTCGTGCCAGCAGCACGTCACCGGATTTCTCGACGACTAAACCTCGTTATAATATATCTCTTTAGACGTAAACGCGAAAAAAAAGATGCACAGTACCGTCCATAGGTTCGTAAACATATAAGTGATTTAGCAGAGAATTTTTTTCAACTCTCGAAGGCCGCATCGCGTAAAATTTTTCCTTTACTCTTGCGAGACACACTGACGCGAAAGCGGGAAATAAATGATTCCTTTATTAATAATTTTCTCGTTTAAATTTATCCAGATTTTTATGGACAGTATCTTATAAACAAATTATCTATATACGTGTGTATGTGTGTGTGTTACAACAAATTAATTTTCAATCGATCAATTGATTGTAAATATCGGGCTAACAAAATTAATATTAATCTGTAATTGTGTGTCAGTAAATTAATCATACGACTTGTAAATTTATGTTACGTATGTATGTTATAATCAATTAACTTTCAATTGATCAATCGATCGTGCAAGCATCGGTTGTAAAATTAATGTCATTATTCCGACAACGCATTATAAAGTTGATTGATAACAGATATATATATATATTTATATATATATATATATATGTATATGTATATATATGTATGTATATGTATATATACATATTATATATATACATATCTTTTTCACTGTCGAAGCTCGATCTATACTGCTTCTCATTGACTCTCTCGATTGGTGAATCTAATACGGGATGAGACGGTATGGCTATGTATAGTGACAGCAGTTGAAACGGATCGAATGTAACAATATTTACATGGTGATAGTTACATATAAGCATTCTGTAGTGCCCCGATTATTCAACTTACTAATTAGTCAAGTGTGTATAGGTTGTCCTTTCCCTTCCTCTTATCGTTAACATGAGAAAACGTTAACGGAAAACAAGGGTGATCTCTGGTCACATACACGCGCACAATCCGCTTTATTTCTCGCACGCACAAATCGTATCGCACGCATACCCCTCTCGCAGAAATCAGCCGGAAACTCGGAAGAAGACCAACATATTATAAACCTATTTAAAAATCACTCACAATAGAGTATCTAACGTACACAATGACAGTATTGCTACCTAGTTATGTATCTGTAGATACACAATTTGATATCGAGTTCATACAAGTCCGTTTCGTTTCTCCCTTTTCACTTTTGTTTTTTTATTTTTCCATCGTCGCCGATTCTTCCGATTCCTCTCGGACGAGAAATCGTGCGCTTACGCTTCTCGACGTCGATAAGTAGTCGACAGGTCGTTTACACCGACCTCCTAGTGCACTTGATGTGTCGCTAAAAACGACACTATCTGGTTGTCATAATCGCTGTAATAAGCTCGAGGAAATACGTCGGGCCTACTAATTCCGCTATAGCACCAACGCAACATTTGAAATCACTTTTTTGAGAAAGTGGAGAGAGGAGAGCTTTTTGAACGTTATGTCGACGCAGCGCGAGAGCACTCGGTTGAATCTACCCGGAGATGAATCGAATAGATCCTCTTTTCTCGTTCCTTGAAGAGTTGCAAGACCTTCATGTAAATTGTTCTATAACGAGCTGTGCTTCCCGACAAACGCGCACGACTTTCATCGTCTTTGCTCCTCCTATTTCTATAACGGTGGAGACGTATCAACGTTAACAGTTTTCAATGTCGACTCGCCTCGATGCGCACACATATCGCGCTTGAAAACGTACGAAATTAACTCTAGTGCCTCGTTAACTCGTTGAAGATGGTGGTAAACGTATATAATATGTATGTGTTAGAGTTATAGCGTGTGTATGTTTGTACTGTAGAATGTATACTTTGCAAAAATCAACAAGAACTGTATCAAGTAGCTGGTGTTATGTCGATGTAGTGTCGACGAGTATTTCAAAACGTATTATTTCTGAGATGACTGTATAAAACAAATATTGCACTTTTTTATTTGTTTTTATTGCTCGAAGAAAAAACGGTCTCTGTAAAATTAATATTGCAAATATTAATACTGTCGTTTTTAATTTGCGTTGTATGTAAGTATAAGATTTTTTTATCACTGCTCGCCTCTTTTGATTTTTATTTATAATTAATTATTATAATTTATGTAATTTATAATAATTATTCAAACAAAAATTTTATTATTAATTTTATTATTTTAAATTTCATTCTTTATGCGCCTATTTTGTTAAAAGTTAGTAGAGATAATTTCAAGAATTAATTTTCAGCGAAATTTAGTTTAATATAAATTTAATTGCCAATATAATAAAAATCCGATGTATAAAATACACTCATTAATTCTTCGCTGGATAAAAATAATGAGAAAATATCTCTTTAATTGATCAAAGAATCAATTAAAGATCCCGCTTTAATAAAAAAGATGATAATAGCTAATATCTCATATATATACCATGTGTAAGAAAAATTATATATTAAACTTTAGAGACTAATAATAAACTGTGAGATTAATTTTAATGATAAAAAAGTTAGATCAACATATATATTTCCTATACTCCATTCATAACTGTATAATTAAAATTTTTAAATGCGATAATTGTAATTTGTGCCGAGTGCGATCAATTTTCCGCAATAACGTAATGTATCTTCCATATCAAATATATATATTGAAAAAAGAAGATTAGAAGATAAACACCAATGTTCTCTCTCGCGATATCGAATTATGCGTCATCGATATGGTCTCTCCACTAGCTCAAAAAGTGTTTCCAAAACATTTCCTATTAATCGTCAGCGGCTCGTAAATTCGATCGATCACTCATTATCGCAACCGTTCGACCGCTCATCCGCATACATTTTTAAGAACACACATTGCGCTTCGATCGCATATCTCGTTAAATGCATCGATTACGTATTCTCGCTGGATACGAAATCCGAAATTGATTTGCGATTTTTCGTTTAAAAAACGCTCTCTCGCTCGCTTAAAACTGACGATAAATATTTAACTTTCTAAAATTTTTCGCGATGCAATCGGCGATTAATACACAGTAGATCTCCACGTCCTAATTATATTCGAATACGAATATAACGTCCGCTTTCGCGCGCACGCTCAGACTCTTGCTTGCATCACTAAGATAAACTAATAAGAAAGAACGGGAACATCACAGTCGTATAGAGGATGTAGTCAATAAGTTCGTCCGTACATAGCGTATCTGGTGAAGGCGAATCTTTTTCTCCTACGATTTTCTCCTATGACTTTCGAGCGATAGACACGGACGGTGACTTGAGAGATTCGTTTCGCGTGGGAGGAGGAAATACCATTGCCCGTCGAATGAATATAATCCGAGCTAGATTCTCATATACACAACAAAGAAATACAATATAACAGCTTCCTCTAACAGCACGCGCTTGACTTTTAAAACTCGTTCAGTGTTGAAGAAAACATTAAAGAGAAGTAAAATTTATTCGCGGACTCGTTTTAGTTGCGATTAGGATCGGGTGTAATTTTAAAGGATATATAGGACACGCGCACTCTTTTAAAATACATTTCTTTAAATCAGGACGCGGCGAAGCGACGATTCGTAATGTTTTCGCAGAGAGCCACCACCCCGCGATCTCTCTCTCTCTCTCTCTCTCTCTCTCTCTCTCTCTCTCTCTCTCTCTCTCTCTCTCTCTCTCTCTCTCTCCTCCTCTCGCTCTGAAAATAAGAATCCTTCTCGGGAGAATTAAGTGTCGACTATAACTTACCCGCGTAGGCTATTAGCGGCAATTTAGCCATGCAGCCAATTAATCCCACTTGCTACTGTTTAAGGATAACGGGGTTGCAACGGACTTTCAACGAATGACATCGGCCTCCTCATCCATTTCTCCTCTCTCCACGCGCGTCGTTTTCGGACGACGTAAAAATATTTTATTGCCAATGCCTTTCTTTCCAGAAAGATAGATGATAGACATGACGCGAACGAGAGATAGAATGAAGGAAGGATGCGGGGTAAATTTAAAATTGCCGTGTCTCTTGGGGAGGGGAGAGGATAATAGACTTTAGTTAACACACGCTTCCTCTCGATGAATTCATCAACGAGGTTGCCACTTTCTTCGGAGACGAACTGCTCGGTGATCCTGGATGGCTCTCTCGATCTCCAGATTGCGGTTCGTTGTCAGTTGAGCCAGGGAGCCATCCGAACAGACCCGTTTTTTTTAATGCGAGCCTCTATCGCTGCCAGCGAGAAGATGGCCCGACAACAGCAACAACAGCAGAAACAACGTCGGAAGCGCGACACCTTTAACGAGAAAAAAGAAAACGCATTTACTTTGATTCGCGCGTCCGATGCAATGCTTTCTCAGATGGACTTCTCTCTCTCTCTCTCTCTCTCTCTCTCTCTCTCTCTCTCTCTCTCCTCCCCCTCTCTCTCTCCCTCTCTCTCCGCCCTCTCTCTCTCTCTCTCTCTCTGTTTCGCGATTGACCTCACGGAGCGAGTCGCGCGTGTGTGTTATCGATCCTAGCGTTTGGCCTGTATACCTGACTGCCGCGCGTGTGATAACACATGTGTGTTAACGATGGCATAAATTATATAATAATATACATACATATCATTCGTTTATAAATTATGTAATAATATACATACATATAATTCGTTTCGTTCGTGTTCGCTTTTAGGCCTTTTTATTGTCGCGCGTATGCGAAGCAGAAAAAAATACGATACAACGAGGGGAGATCGCCGTGACGAGGTAAAAAGGGCCATTTTTGCGACAATCGTGTATGCCAATTGTATTCAGCGGGTCCTACGATCGATAGGAAATATCCAATTTTTTCTCTTTCGATATCGCATGTGATAATTCCAAGATGCGCAGTCATGCGCACGCCAATCGTTCCAAATAAATTGCGCGAGTAGAAAAGAAACAAAGATATTTTTTCTTCGTCTTCTTCTTCTCCTCTTTTTCGGAGAGGATGCAGTCAACCCTTTTCTCATTACCCGTTCTCCGTATTTATCAACTTCTACGATAACGTTCGAACTGATATCGGATCCTGTTACAGCGCTTCGTTCATTATGCAATCTCACGCAAGCTCCTCCGGACAAATATTGCAAAGTCCGCGATACAATCTAGAATATTGAAACTGCCGCTATACAATCTCGCGAAAAACGGGAGGGAGGTGGTACAGGAGGGTGGGTCGCGACATTATCGTTGATTGCCTATAAATATGCGTCACATCCGGCCGAGTCCTATTTGCAACTTGTTTCGCGACAATGACGGGCAATTCTAGTTGACCGCGCATGCCGCGGCCGTTGTGCCGAAAGTAATTCATATTGTTTGGTTTCGTCGAGTCAATTTCTCGAGCACCATGTATAACCGTGCAAAATTCAATTTTACATAATTACGCGGCCCGCGAAGCAAATCGCGTTATTATTTCAGGCTCCTTTGTGCGGGCTCAATCGAAATCGTGATGACTAATGCAGATACATTTTTATTTAACGTCGTGACACATTCGAGGTAGAGTTATCGACGAAATTAATCGGATTGTAGCAAAACGAGCGAATATCTATAACATTTCAATCGGCGAAGAAGGGGAGAAAGAGAGAGAACATTTGCACATTTTTTTCCCGTTTCCTTTCGCAATTGTTACCGTTCGGAAACGGCGTTTAAACGAGCGACCGAACCGAAGCTCCAAGATGTATTTCGGGCTATTAAGCCCTGGCATGGACGCCCATGCCGGGGCTACTCCCCCGGCTAGCAACAATGCTCCAAGTTGTAACAAAAGTTTCTCACCGAATCCGAGGTATTCGACCCCGTTTGCGCGAAACGAGTGAATAACGGGCTTCTCTCCGCGCAATTCGATTTGACGCGCCACGGGCTTTAAAGTATACCACCTTAATTCATTCTGCTGCTACCTTTTCCAGGCTTCGCGCTTCTATCCATTTGCGCGAGCGGGCGCGTGACTTTTCGCCTCCTTCTCGGTAGAATGAGAATGCGAATGAACGAATCTTCGTACAATTCAGAGAGCGAGATCCCTCCGCCGGCTTTTCTCTCTCGTAAGGCGTTCTTTTATGTTCAAAAGACTCAATTATTTTCCAGAATGTACGTCCGCTCTCGCTTTTTTTCTCTGTCTCTCTCTCTCTCTTTCCTACGAAATGTACACAGTAAGAAGGAAAATCAGAGGGCAAGAGAGAGCAAAATCTGTCATGGAGATTGAGAGAAGAATTTTAAATACCCGGGATATAATAACTATGACGCGATGGTTAACAGCTACTTGCGGATTGCATAATGCAAGCTGTTAGGAGGAACGAGACTTGGTCCGATTGAGGTTTCAGGAGAAACCCTATTAATATCACGCACAATTCTCTTGTTACATTGTAAGGAACATTATGTTACATCACAAGACTGTATTATTAGTTCTAAAATTCAATTGAGTATAATACGTTGTATTTTTAGCTGGTAATATCGCGGATAGATTTCTTTCGTCTTTCATAAAAATTCCTTTTATAATATCACATCTTTCAACGATTCCTTATTCATTTTATCTCGAACGGGCCAACTCTCTTCGCTTGCCGATTTCATTCAATTAAAACGGTGCGCAAATTTTTCTGTAATAATAAAAAAAATTATTCGCGAAAAAAGATATTCGCTTTTTATTTTAAATGTCAAAAATGGAATATAACGTTTTACTATCATATTACGGTTTATGTATCGCGATCATAACATGCGCGATAACTTTGCGCAGTCCATGCTTTACATTTTTCTCCCGTTTCCGATATTTATCCGTAAATTATTGTATTTCATACGGAGAGAGAGCGCGGACATGACATATATATCTGTAGATATGAACCTGGGCAATTTTTTTTTTAAATTCGAATGTAGAAATAAACTTATGCGATAAACGAAATATTCTCATCGGAGTCGACCCGGCGTGTGTCGCATTTTTTTTTTTTTTTTTTTTTTTAACAACGCGTATTTCATACTTCACATTTTCCATAACGAAATTGTCGACGAGGATAAATAATGAACAGCGTAATACGCGTCTAAATGTTCGTCGGGTGTGAAAATAACGTATATTTATGATATTTAACGAGAGGAATTTTACGAGGCAAATCTCGTTTTCCCTCAACGAGACCCATCATATCTTTGTTAGAGATCACGTCGGTCTCTCGTCGTTACAATGGTATTGCGAATGACTTAAAAAACTCGAAAAATATCTAGCTTTCTGCTCAGGTAGAGGCAGAAAATGCGCCGCATAGTAATACAATTAATTAACTAATTTCACGAAAGCTCCTCACCGTGCCGTGCCGATCCGTTGCTCGCAGGTATCTTTATCGTGTAATTCTCCTCCTCGTCTAGGAACACGTAGCTGGCATTAAAGCCCGTAGCGTCGAGACGATCGTTACTCTTGAACGTAACGCGGAAGAACTTCCTGTCGCTGTAAATGTCGAATTCCTTCATCTGACCGCAATGCCTCTTGTACTTTCGGTCTCTGATCATGTAATTGGAGAATTCGACGTAATCGCTGGCTGATACAGCTTCGCACCTGCAGAAAATTTCAGTTTGTTAACAAACGATTTCTCTTATTTAATCGACCGGGAAGGAATCATCATTGTCGGCGTTTTGTTTGATTTAATCGTTTGCAAACACATGATACATACGGTATTACAATTGATAGATATTCTGTATATAATTACGTGCAAGATACGTATCATTTATACGTACAGCATCGATTTGATCGCTCTGTCGTTCGGTATTATTCACCAAGATAATGTCAACAAAAAAAAACGATAAATAAAGAAAATAGAAACATTGTTTCCGAATAAAAAAAACATTTACTTTCTACATATTCAAAAATTGGCTAGCAAAATATATGTTAATTTTTTACATTTATTGAAGCGAATAGACTACGATTTTTATTTTAACAGCGTGTTTGTAACCGCATGTATATACATAAATACGTATACTTTAATTGAATCCATCAACTTTGTATATGTTTCTTTCTTTTTTATTTATTTTTCATATTTTAATCCTCCCATATATATCCTCCCATATATATAATCGTAAAAAAATAATAATAAAAATTAATATCGTTCGCGTGAAATAAAAACACACGATGTCATAAAACACATCACAATATATCTATTTCTATTGCACATTACGAAAACTTTGTGCATAACTCTGTGTTCTAACTTTATATATTTATATCGAGTTATCGCGTTTTCAAATTAAGTAAAACATCGCGCGCGCGGCAACTCCGGTAATTCTATCGGAATATATCAAGTAAAATAAATATATTCAGGGGATTAGTTAAAGTTTGGATAGTTAAACGACTCACTTAACTTTTCCTTGCAAGCTTTGATGGCTCAAAAACTTTGCCGGTCGCGCATTTCATTAAAGAAGTTATATGTATCTCTCTATCGTCCATTATTATATTTCTCGAAGAAGCTTGTCAGAAGGAGATTTTCGGTTTTCTACCTACGAGGCTATTCGCTTCGTAAAGTCGAAATCTTTCGATAAAATACGCGCGTATCGGCTGTGTATATTTGAGAATACGAGGATTATAGATTATTAAGCATTGAACTCTCCGGCATTCGATAAGCCGTTCAACTTTTTCTGCGCAATTCCACTCTTTTCAAAATACGCCCTCATACGAGATATACAATACATTGATATATATCCCTGATGAAAAATGAACTAGCAAAAAGCTCCCGATATCTACCTCCGAGAGGAATATCGATAAAATCCGGATGACTTTTCTTAACAGTCTTCCTTGGCTACCCTCTCGGTCATAAATTGCATTCATGGCTCCCTCTCTCTTTCTCTTCTTCGGAAGCATTTCCATAAATAATTCAATCTTGGCCTATTATTCACATCATTCTAATGCGAATGTTATATATTTGTGTAAAATACTTTTATGAGAAAGATTAGCAAAATTCAATTATTTTGTTTGATAATAATCTCATTATTTTAATGATATTAATATATCTTCATCAATATCTCGATAAAGTGTCGCGAAAAGCAATATATATGTAAGGGAACGTCTCTATTATTATATCTTTTATTACAGATATTGGATTGATTGGATAATACAATAATCCATTAGACATATTGGATAATGTAATAATAGTCTATTACTCTCTCATCCAGCGTAATTGAGGGCGGTCGCGATGACATATCGCTTGATAGAAAAATAGAGGTAATAAGTAAGATTTACACGTTCGTCTCCGGCTGCTACGTGACGAGACAAACGATACATCGTCGCGAAAAGAAATATTGATGCGTGAGCGATGGGGCTATTATCGCGGCGGTGAAGAATGTATACCGCGCCCGCTAGTTGGCCCGATGACATAAGTGGCAATTCGGGTGATAGATCATCATTTGCCCGGCGCGAGCGTAACCAAGAACGTCTCGAGAACTGTTTACCGGCGCTCAGATTTACGGCCGGGTGTGCACCCTTTTCCTCGTCTCGCAACGTTCCGGGGGTTGAAATGCATCCACCGAATAAAGCACCTTGCGACGGGTAGCGTTCGGTCCGATCGAACTCTCGTCTCGATGCGGTTGCGAGAGGGCGATATATATTTACGATTTCCCTTCTCCGAAGTAGCTACGAGGGAGAATCTTTCCCCGATTCTCCCCCCGTGTGTCGGTCGCGATAAACAGCAGGACGTCGATCCCGGGCGACAAAATTTATTAATTTGCAGAACGAGTCGCGTTGCGAGCCGCTCGGATGACGCGGATTCCATGTTCCTTGCATCATGGCACCGTGTGCGACAAACGAGCGCGTTGCGTTATAAAATTCGACAGAAATTGGCGAAACATGATTAATTAGCGGCTTCCGTGTAATGAACGTAGCGTAACGTTGCCGCCGGAATATTGATGGTCCTGCGATTTAATACGACCCAATTAGGAAGCAGCTATCATATGACCCGACGCGGCGCACCACTGGATTCTCCTCCTCCTCTCTCTCCCCTGTTTTTCCCTCGTCCTTCGATACGTTCCTCGCGACTACCCTCGCTTTTCTCTCCGATTCTCTTTATCTTCCACGTGCATATGCAAGCTGTTTATAAGCTCTCTGTCTGCCTCCACGTGGTCCATCTATCATGCTCTTCCATCTCTCTTGAAGTTCTGCGCCACCTGCTGTTGTATTTTCCGAAAAAGAGCTGCAGTATGTTATATTGTTACTGCGGATAATGGGTAATATGCTCGTTAATAACAGTCTGTAGCATGGATGACACGTAATTGGTTCTGTTCCTCGAAAGGCCGCCAAGATATCCTTCACCGCAGGACTTCCTTCCGTGTTTCGATAAGTAGCTGAGAACTTGGATGCAGTTTGATATAACGAGCCGTCTCGACTCCCAGTGTGAGTCCAAAATTGGACGACCTATCGTCGCAAATAGATTCGTTCAAAAGTAGAATACACCTACATCGAATCTCGACGAAGACGAGATATATTCCTGTCTCACATTTCTTTTACGATATGTCTCGCGTTAGAAAAATCCGAGATGATTAGCCTGATTCATTATCAGGCACGGATGTTCCATTAAATATTTACCGCGATATGTATTTTTGCTGTTAATATAATTATCGTCAGTCGCTTTTATTCCATTACTCGATATCGCATTATCATTTATATTAATTAATTTTCGTTTCTCATTATATGGAATTTCCGCGACATCATTCATTGACGGGCATTGTTTGCTGAATTCTTTCATTTCGAAATTATTCGCGACTCTGACGACGTCAAAAATTACTAATTCTGTGTCCCCTCCTTCTTTCATAAGAAAGAAAGGATTCGCTTACGAAAGAAAGGATTCGCTTACGGTAACACTCCCTCGACGTCGAAGAAGTGGAAATGAAGGTGAACCCGCTCGTTAAGTTGACCATTGAAGAAGTAGTGGCACTCCGTGCTACGAGGATACAGCCCAGGATAATTTGGCGACGCGAACGTACCATTCCGGGTCTCGTTGCTGTTGAAAACAAAGGCACACGGAAACTTCCCTTGGTCCTGCCGACCTGTCGTTATCCCGAAGTCTGAAACAGCCAAACATGCATTCGTAAGTATGCTGCAGCTTGAACCAGCATTAGACGATGAGCTCTAAAGGAGCTCCTCTCTTTCTCTATCTCCCTTGTTTTTGAGACGAAACAAGACGAAAACTTTGTTCTCTCATCTACCTATTTTTCAATTAAATGCTAGTTATCGCGGTGTTTATTAAAGATAGAGAGAGAAGGCGGGGAAAAATATATAGCAGTACAACTAATTTAATTTAATTTCTGGCGCGTTGAATGTACAAAGGGGATCTTCGCTGTTCTCTTTTTTCAACGTTCACAATTATTATCCTCGCGTACTTCATTATTACAGAAGAGAGAGAAGGGGTACATTTATAATCTCCTGAGCGGTTTAATAAATATTGACACGTACTAATAGCTGGGTGTGCACCGTAATACAAATCATTGGCGGTACAATCGTGACGTTGTAATAAATGCGTCCGAGAAATATGAATAATATCGAAGTAATTACTAATGTATTATTAATCGACAGTTTCAATATAGAGGCAGCATCAAAATCAAATATTAAATCCCGGGGAGGGTTTCGAACATGCCATTCGCGCGCGTATACATGTACAGAAGCCCATGTAAAGCCTGCGGCGCAGGATGATGCTTGTTCCCATGCTATATTGCTTGCAAGGCGGTTTACTGACAACGGTTTGGTGTTGGAAAATGCGATGCATGTCAAAACGATGCTCTGCATAGTTAAATTTCACGCTATTCACTATTGGTTGCATCGACAATTAGCAAAGCTTTCATTTCTAGCTCAATTCTCGTCTCGCGAGAATCGATTTTCCTGCTTCAAATATAGCGATGAGAAAATTAAATAAATGAGATAAATAAAAATTATCATACATCTTTTTCGAACCTGCGCCAACTGATTGTCAAATATCGCAAGAGACCAAGCTTGTATATTCTCAAAAAGTTGACCAGGATCAATCAGTTTATCTCGTTCAAGCGAAAGACCAGACGCGTGGACTATTTTATATTTTTTAATCCCTCTTTTTTTGTCGCAAGAAATTATTTCATCTCGCACTCTGTTCGATCGTATTCGGTACGTTCGAGATACAGTTAATTCTGTTCGGGGCTGATCTATCGGTACGACAAGCAAATCGAGAGGCACCGCGGGACGGCCGTAAAATAATTGAATAACTACCTGCAAACATTCCGAGTGTCCGTGGCTGGCGCGACTTCGTGACCCTTTTTTTTCCTTCTCGACCACCTGACCATCCCAGTCGATTAAAATTTCTCGACAGAAGCGGCCGAAACCTCATTACGGACGACTCAATTAACTTCGATCGCGACGAACGCCCCAGAGCGACGGCTGCGAACCGAGAACGGATGGTTTAGGAAAGATTCCCGGCGCTTCCTTCCGCCAGAAAACTTTCCCGGAAAGTGATTTCCATCCCTCGTCGGTTTTCTCTCTCCCGTTGAAAAATATTCGTCTCAGCGACGCGTCGCCGTCGGCGGTGGCCGCCCCGGGAAGTGGCATCGTACAAGGCAAGAGAGAGAAACGCCGAGGGACTTCCGGGAGAAGAGTATGTTAATTACGAGATCGGTCCCCGTTGTCACACACAGGGAGAAACCGTCCGTTTGAAACGACTCGGTCGCAGTTACTGCGGAACTCTCGAGAGGAGTTCCTAAAGTGCGGTACACCGCGCCGCGAGGTCCAAGTTTCTCCCCTGGCTGTAAACATCGAGTAATAAGCTTCCGCGAGACTTTTGCGCTTAGTTAGCCACATTTGTTACGGTCACCGTGTATACGGTCACTCTGTCTTGCTGCGGTCGACGCTGGAAGGAGGCGAACAACGGTGGATGATGGTCGGCGGGTCGGTATCTGGGGGGAGGGGGGGGGGAAATGCGAAAACGCGTTGAAAAGCACCGAGAGTCGGTCAACCCGACCATTTTTCTTCCGTGAACCTTTTCCTTTTTAGCTCACCTCGCAATCGCATATTGTCTCCTTTATTCGCAACGCTATCCCCTCGTGCGCGAGATTCTCCGTCTACTTCATATTCATAAGAAGTGATATTAAAATTCACAGTAGTAATCCACAAAAATTGCGAATAATGCATAGCAATTGAAACTCTATTTGAATGAAAGTAGGTGGGTAGAATTTAGACAATTTTGGAAAAATCAATCTCTCCTCCTCTCCGATGCCTATGAATCTCGTGATAAAAAGATAAATTGATTTTTCGAAGAAATACTAGAATTAGTGCGCGGGAAACGTCGTTCGAGGCTTGTTACCGTAATTGTAATTTTTCAATACCGCGCGGAACAAATGTAATAATACATCTGCAATCTTTTTATTTTGCGTTTCCTCTTTCCTCCTTCTCCCCCTTTCCGCCTACACAATCGGAGTGAAACGTTTCACGTTTCAAATGTTTGCTTGTGAAAAAAATTCTGCAAATCTTTTTTTATTTATGCCCATTGTGCATGTATAAAATGTTTACAAAAATCTCGTACTGTAGAAAACCTTGCATAAAAAAAAAGAGGATATTTCCTTTTTTTATTTGTTTATCACTACAGTATCAATTCGCGAAACCATTGAACCTTCACGTATATTTGCCAAAAATGAAATTTTCCATAAAAAAATGATATTGAGAATATTATTCTATAATATTACATAGTTTTAGAATTATCTAAGCTATATGTAAATGTTATACTATGAAAGTAACACATGATCTCTTTTTCTCTCTCTTTCTCTGGAAAACAAATATTACGTCGTTGCAACCAAACGACCGATCGTATATTTGTCATTTAGAACCTTTAAGCATGCACACAGTACACCGTATTTTCGCCGGAGAGAATTGCCCGATTGCAATTAAAATTCCAGATTCGTATTCGTTGCGTAATTTTTATTGTTACGAGCTCGTAAAGAGTGCTCCTTGACGGCACACGAGAGATATCGCGAACGTTTAAGAATTCAACGTAATGTTGCCGTGTGAGCTAAACTCAACGCTGGACGTCCGTGTGCATAGAATGTATAGGGAATTGTAGTATAAGCGAAACGATTTCTGATACAAATGCAAATGGAAAATGCGGAATGTTAAATGTAAAATTTGTACAAAGCCCTATCAGAGAGAAAACCGACTTTGAATATTCTTAAATAGATTTTTTAGTACTCGCCGATGTGATTAATAAAATGAGAATGATGTGATTAATAAAATGAGAATGATGTGATTAATAAAATGATAGAAATTTGCACCAAGTTTTAATAATGCATTTATTTCATTAAATTACAAATTGAAAATGTCGCTTTTCTCGTCGTACACAATGTTACTCGGCAAATTAAAGTTTGAATAATTAAAGTTAACAATAATGTACTTCAAATGTTTACTTTTTCGAAACCCTGTAATATTATCTTGTAATTGGAGACAATTTTAATTATCTTTACCTTAATATGAACGATTTCCATGTTCGAGGAATCTTCAAAGTTGATTTTCTCCAAATGTTTCATATGAAAAAATTTTCTATATTTTCGACTTGCGTTTGAGGAAATATGTCCATATCGCTTGTATTACGATTTTTTATGCATCCTGCACATCGTTCCGAATACTTTAGGTTTTCTCGTAGAACGTGTGCGCTTTCTTACGTATCTTAGAAAACAACGATCGTTGCTCTTTTTCTTCCCATGTTTACTATTCGCTGTATAATATTCTCTTTCTCTTTTTCGTCTTCGCACGTCGCGCTTTCATATCTTGGCTAAAGGAATATCTTAATTTACATAACGCGGCATCATCGTACAATGCACCCATCGCAAAGATATTTTAATCAACCGAGCGTGATATACGAGCGTATGATGTTGGCGCAAACCGCAAACCTGTCTGGCGAATTAAGCGTGGAATTCGGCGCTGTTGCGTTGCTCGTTGTCTCTCAGTGGTGCAGCAGATGTTGTGTAATCAGTGCGATTAAACTGATTTTCATAACGCGAGTCGAAAATTAATTATCGGAAAGAGCAAAGATTTGCAAATAAAAGAGGTACAGATATTTAATTTTTTTTTTTTAATTCCTAAATCTGTGTTTGGAAAAAGTCGAATTATGGAAAAATATCCGCAGCGCGCGAAAATATTTCCAGATGAGATTGAGAGACGCTTCTGTTAAAAATGCACCGTTTTCACGTAAGTAATAACGCGCATTAGAGCTGGTCTCGATTAAGGAGAGAGGAAACTCAACAAAATTTTTCATCGAAATTATGATGGATGCATTTTATGAAAATTCAATAAAGGTGCATTAACCGCCTTTCGCGATAATGAGGTAAATTTTGTTGCTTTTCGTGGAAAACATATATAATAATCATAATTTTATCAACCGCGTCATCTCTACATTTGCAATTTTAGCAGAGTATGATAGAATACGACGGGATTGGAACGTTTCTCGGACGCGGCATTCGCGATTTCGCCGATTCATCGAAAATGAAATGCTCCGCACGCGTAAAGTGTCAGATAATTAGCGACAAATAGATCGCAGCATCCGCGCCGCGTCTGCTTTTAATAGAATTTACCGTCTCTGATGATCACGTATAGCGCAAATATTTGTTGAATTATATGTATTCGACAATCTCTCTTTAACGTAATGCAGCATAATCGATAGTATTGCTAAATCAGCTGCTTATTATCAGAGCGCCTACTGATTACGGTTGAAATTATCATTCACTATCGAACGCACCCCCAACACGCGCTTTATTGTCAGATACGCGTAATCAAATACATAAACTCGCGTGCAAATCATGCTTAGAGAGATGAGCGAAAATTAGCGTTACAATAGAGAGACTTCCATCATCATTTTACAGTTGAAATCTAACGATCTAATTGCGAATTTTTTAAACGTGAAATGTTTTAAAAATCAAGAGCGACGAGGGTTACTTGAGTCACGTTTTCGCGGTGTCGCACATTCTTTCCACGGCGATCAATCGGAATGACTGATGCGTGCGTTCCGCGCGCGTAATTCCTTAATGCGTGGGCGTCGCGCAATTTGTCTCCTGTTCCG